GTGCCCGGCCTGCTCGGCGCTCTGCACACTTGGTGAGCCCAGTCCCCCCCCGAAGCTGGTGCGTGGGGGACACGCATGCCGTGGCTCCCCACCACTGGCCCCCGGCCACGCAGCAGAGCCGCAGAGACAGACGCGGGCTCTCAGCCTTGGCGGCCGGACCTCCACCCCCGGCCTCCTCCAGCCCCACCCTGGGGTGGATGCCAGGCGCCCGCGACCCCCCTCGCCTCCTTCCAGATAAAGCCAGAAGTTCTCAGCCAGCCCGAGCGCTTCTCGCTCCTCTACTCCCCACACCCCTTCATTGTGCCTGGCGGCCGCTTTGTAGAATTCTACTACTGGTGAGCACCCCCCCCCCCCCCGGGCAGAGGGGGTGCAGGGAGGAGGGAGGTTAAACCAGAGCCAGTGCCCTGGATGGTGGCAGGCTGACGCCCGGTGGCCACTTCCCCCCAGGGACTCGTACTGGGTCATGGAGGGTCTGCTCCTGTCTGAGATGGTGCAGACGGTGGCCGGCATGCTGCAGAACTTCCTGGGCCTGGTGAAGACGTAAGCGCGGGCACGTGTGCGTCCACACAGGGGCATGTGTGGCCGCAGGCTTGGCGCCCCCCCCCAGCCCTGCCACCGGCAGAGACTGTGAGCCGGTCTGTGTTGGCAGCTATGGGCACATCCCCAACGGCGGGCGCGTGTACTACCTGCAGAGGAGTCAGCCCCCGCTCCTGGCGCTCATGATGGACCGATACATGGACGCCACCCACAACGTCACCTTCCTGCGGTGAGCAAGCGGCCTCCTGTGCCGGGCGGGCCGGGAGCCGCGCAGCCCTGCACTGAATGCTGCTCGCTTCACCCCAGGGAGAACATCGAGACGCTGGCCTTGGAGCTGGACTTCTGGGCTGTCAACAGGAGCGTCTCTGTGCACGTGGGAGGGCAGAGCTACAACCTGAACCGCTATTCCGTTGCTTATGGGGGACCCAGGTAAGACCTGGCCCGGCCTTCGTGCTCTGGTTTGTCAGGAGGAAAGCTTGAGCCGGGCGCTGGCGGCTCACGCCTGGAATCCCAGCTACTCAGGAGGCTGAGATTTGAGGATGGCAGTTTGAAGCCAGACCAGGCAGGAAAGTCTGTGAGACCGTTATCTCCAATGAACTACCAAAAGGCCAGAAGTGGCGCTGTGGCTCAGGTGGTAGAATGCTAGCTTGAGTGACAAAAAGGTAAAGGACAGCACCCAGGCCCTACGTTCAAGCCCCAGCACTGGCATGCGCGTGCGTGAACACACACACGCGCACACACACACGCGCACACACACGCGCACACACACGCGCACACACACACACACATGCGCACACACACACACGCACGCACACACGCGCACACACACACACGCACGCACACACGCGCGCGCGCGCACACGCGCACACACACGCGCGCGCACACACGCACACACACGCACACACACGCACGCACACACGCGCGTGCACACACACACACACACACACGTGCACACACGCGCACGCACACACGCACGCACACACGCGCACACACACGCGCGCGCACACACGCACACACACGCACACACACGCACACACACGCACACACGCACGCACACACACACGCACACACGCACGCACACACGCGCACACACACGCACGCACACACGCGCGCACACACACACGCGCACACACACGCGCGCGCACACATGCACACACGCACACACACACATACACACGGGAAACTTGAGGAGAGGGCTTAGAGGCCTCTGGTCAGGTTATTCCTTCTCCCTTTCTCAGGCCGGAGTCCTACAGCAAAGACGCGGAACTGGCAGACACAGTGCCAGAAGGTGAGCAGCAACACTGGGGGGCCAGGGCAGCCGGCCTCTGCATCTGGCATGGGACCCTGTCGGCTGCTGCATTTTCCCCTCAGTCAGGCTGGCCGGGGCCCTGCTCTATCCTTCCAGGGAGCCGAGAGGCTCTGTGGGCTGAGCTGAAGGCTGGGGCCGAGTCTGGGTGGGACTTCTCTTCGCGCTGGCTCGTTGGAGGCCCAAACCCTCACCTGCTCAGCAGCATCCGAACCAGCAAACTGGTGCCGGTGGACCTGAACGCCTTCCTGTGCCAGGCAGAGGAGCTCATGGGCAAATTCTACTCTTTGCTAGGTAAGCCCCGGGGAGGGGCGGCCAGCACGGGTCTCCACATCCACACGGCAATGAAAGAGAGGGATATGGAAGCCTGGGATGGTTTGGCTTTGTGCTCTAAGTGGGGCTTGAACTCAGCCCTCCTGCTCTGCCCTCAGATTTGCTGCTTTACCACTTGGACCACATTTCCACTTCTTTTTGTTCTTTTTTTTTTGTCAGCTATAGGGCTTGAACTCTGGGCCAGAATGCTGTCCCAGAGCTCTTCAGCTCAAGGCTGGTGCTCTACCACAGTGCCACTTCCAGCTTTTTCTGTGTAGGTGGTACTGAGAAATCAAACCCTAGTGTGCATGCTAGGCAAGCATTCTACCACTGAGCCACCTCCCCAGCCTGCTTTTTTCTTTTTGGTCACGGAACTTGAATTCAGGGCCTGGGCACTGCCCCTGAGCTGTTTTGCTCTACCACTTTGAGACACAGACGCACTTCCAGTATTCTAGTGGGTAATTAGAGATAAGAGCCTCACGGACTTTCCAGCCTAGACTGGCTTCAAACAGTGATCCTCAGGTTTCAGTCTCCCAGGTAGCTAGGATTACAGGTGTGGGTCACCAGTGACCTGTGTAAGTCTCCCCTTATCCTCCCTCCCTCCACCTGCCTTTGGAGCTGTGAGGGCCTCAGGGCTTGGAGGGAATACCCTCATCCATTCCCCCAAACACTCAACAATGCAAAGCTGCCTGCTGATACAACTACCCCTTAGAGCCAGAGAAACTCACCTAGCCAGGATGGGCCAGGAGACAGACCAATGAGGCCCTGGGGCAATGCAGAGCCATTGGCCAGAGAACTCAGGACCTAGAGAAACAAGTGGACGGGGCTCCCGGGGGAGCATTCCCTCAGCAACAGGATTTCTTACTCTTGGGGAGGAGCATAAATGGAGAGCAAAGGAGAGTGCCTAGTGCCCAGGGGCAGAGCCCCGCCCACTGAGACCAGAGGTAATGTCCCCCAGGGAACGACTCCCAGGCCACCAAGTACAGGAACCTGCGGGCCCAGCGCATGGCCGCCATGCAGGCCGTCCTCTGGCAGGAGCAGAAAGGAGCCTGGTTCGACTATGACTTAGAAAATGGCAGGAACAACTTGGAGTTTTACCCATCCAACCTCACCCCGCTCTGGGCCGGCTGCTTCTCTGACTCCAGCATCCCAGACAAGGCTCTGAAATACCTGGAGGTGAGGGGACCAGGGAGGGGGAGGAGGGGCAGCTCTGGGGCCCTGCCGCAGCACTGGCTCTGCTGACTGAGCACAGACCTGCAGGGCAGCCATTCCCTCCTCTCTGAGCCTAGCTCAGCCTGTAGTTCCCACCGCGACCAGATGGGGGCAGCTGGGAGCCAAGAAGACAAGGGCCAGAAAGGGCACAGCGAGCCGCCTTCCTCCTGAGGAAGCATCCTGGCTTACACTCACTCAAGGAAATATCTGGAACCTTCTAGGACAGCCAAATCCTGACCTACCAGCATGGGATCCCGACCTCCCTCCTCAACACAGGCCAGCAGTGGGACTTCCCCAATGGCTGGGCCCCCCTCCAGGACCTGGTCATCACAGGTAGGCAGGCAGGCAGGCAGGCAGGCAGGCAGGGGGCATCTGCCAGGACCTGGCCCCACGGAGGACGGGCCAAGCTGGGCTTCTGGGCGCTGTGGACTAGAGATGCAGGCCTCCATCCTTCCCCTGCCTCCTGGGCTGCTCTGGCCCTGCTCAGCACACATGTCCAGCCCCTGTCCCTTCTTTCTACCCCGAGGTATGGCCTGAGGGTCCAGAAAGGAGGCCTGGGGGCAAACAAGTCCCCCGGCCTCTGCTCTGCTGGGATGGAGGCTCTGGAGACTCAGGTCCTGCCTTGCCTGGGGCCCTAGGCTTGACCAAGTCAGTCTCCCCTCGGACCCAAGAAGTGGCTTTCCAGCTGGCCCAGAACTGGATCAGAACCAACTTTGATGTCTACTCCCAAAAGTCAGCCATGTATGAGAAGGTGAGCTGGCGCTGGGCGTCCCTCTGTCCCCGGAGACCTCCTCCATTAGAGGAGGCCAGGGTGTCAGGCTTCTCCTGGACCAGGGCGGCCCAGCCAGGATGGTGGTGACACCCAGTGGTCATTCCTGGGAACTGCAGGGACCATTGCTGCAGGCCAGAGGAGCTGGGCTGACTGACCTGCTGGGGTGGGTGGGTGGCTTGGGGACCAGCGCCTGACCTACCACCGTCCCCTTGTCCCCAGTATGACGTCAGCAGCGGTGGACAGCCAGGTGGTGGAGGGGAGTATGAAGTCCAGGTGAGCGAGGCGGGAGTGGGCTGTTGAACACCACTGTCCCCCGCATTGCAGTGAGCCCCGCTAGGCCATGCTGTGGTCAGGGCAAGTAAACCCAGCTGTCTGGGGCGGAGCTGCCTGCTGCCCCTTGCTGCCTCTGGAGGACAGATGGCGCCAGAGGCCCTGGGGAGGAGCTCCAATACCCCAAACAGGGCGCGGGCGCCCTGCCTCCTCTCCCCACTGTCCTGCCTGTCTCTAGGAGGGGTTTGGCTGGACCAATGGTGTGGCCCTGATGCTCCTGGACCGCTATGGGGACCGGCTGACCTCAGGGGCCCCGCTGGCTCTCCAGGTGCCCTGCTGTCTGGTGGCTACGCTTCTGCTCAGCTTCCTGCCTCAGTGGCCCTGAAAATGAGGACAAGGTCAGCCTTCCTGTGCACGCTCACCTGGCCTCAGTTCCTTCCTCATTAAACGGGTCCTTCCTCCCATCTGGGGGCTCTCCTGTCCCTGCTCTGCTGTCTTCTATTCTGAGGCACAGGGACAGGGCAGTGACATGGAGGTCAGCGTCTGGGGTGTGGGTCTCACTGCCCCCCCCCCGCTGGCCTGTCACGCACCTCCATAGTCCAAATGCTTTATTGTTCTGCTGAAATGCTTACAAATACTGCAAACCTCCCAGCTTAGGTCCAGGCAACCGAGGGCCGGTGCTGGGGGGAGGGCGGGGAGGTGGGCTTAGTGTTAAGGCTGAAGGGCTGAGGCCAGGCCACTGGAGCCTGGTCCTCCTCTCTCCTCCCCATCACCCTCTGGAGGCTGGCCACAGCCCTGGGCCCTCCCCCTCCGCAGCCCCTCTGCTCAGTGGGCTGAGCACCCCCTTCCGGGTCAGGCATCCACCCTGGGAGGAGAGGACGGCGCTTAGCTTCCTCTCCCGTCTGCATTGGTGTCATCCCTCCTGGCGCTAAGCAAAGGCACGAGTGGAAGGGAGAGGGTTGGGCTGGGGGGCGGGAGCCGCAGGGAGGTGTCCGGTCCCCTCCCCCAGGAGATGCCCAGAGGGCTGGGCTGGAGAGATGATGGCTCGTACCCTCACTACCCACCGCAGGCGAGGCAGCGGGCTGCGCCTCGGAGCTGGCGAGGCAGTTAGTATGTATCCATGGCAATGAGGCGGTCTCCATGGAGACCATGGGGCTGGGTCTGTGACAGGGGGCGGGGCTGGGACCTCAAGGGTGAGGTGACACGGGAGGTGTCTGGCCCTTGAACAAAGTAGTGGAAAGTGTAAATGAAGGAGAGGCGCGGCGGAGCAGGGCTGAGCAGCGTCTGCCTGGGCGGCTGCCCCCTGCCAAACGTGGCTCTGCGTGGCTCCCAGAGCCCCAAAAAGGAGCTGAAGAGGGAAGGGATCTTTGGCAGATTCTGGTACCATAATTTGTCAAAGAAAACGAGTTGGGGAGAGCAGGCGCTGCGGCGGCGGTTGTCAGTGACCCTGACCTGCAGGCCCGGGAGCAACCTCCATCTTCTGAGCTCTGAGAGGCAGCAAAGCCCCTTCCCCACCTTTCCTCTCTGGCTGGCTCTTCAGTGACAGGAGCCCAGAACCTTACAGCACTGCACTGCGGACCCTGGCTGCACCCCCTCGGTGGGGCTTGGTGTCTCTAGGGGAGCAGAGCAGCGGGCGGCTGGGCCTGGGTCCTGGAGCCGCCACGGGGGGGGGGGGGGGGCAGAAGGCCCACGGCGGGTCAGTTCATGAACTGGGTGTAGCCCTCCGCCCCTGTGACGATGACGTCCATCCAGATGCGCATGGCCTCGGCAGAGGGGGCCACCATGTAGTAGAGCCGGTCGTGGGTCTTCACGCAGAAGGTGAGAGCTGGGTTTGGGCTCTGCCGAGGGAAGAGGCCAGTCTAAGGCAGGGCTCACCCACTCGCGCAACTCTCTCCTCCCCGGCCTCCTGTCTGCCTTTCTCCTCCCAGCCCCCAGGAGGCCCTGGAGCCGGGTCTCCCCTTCTTCCCCCTCATCCCTCCTGCCCCCCCAGGTGGGCGGAGCTTCCTCGCCCACCAATCCCATCTCAGTACTCCTGGCAGGGGGGCGGGCCCCGCTGGGGACACTGGTTCTTGGCATGACCAGGTTCAAAAGTGACAACAAGAAAATCAGTCGCCAAAGGCCGGAGAGGATGGGTCTCCTCTTGGCAGAGAAGAGGCAAGAAAGCGAAAGGCAAGATGCTGGGCCACGTCCCCAGGGGAGCAGCGGTCAGGGCTGGGGGCCTCGGGGTGCCGGCAGGAGGCAGGCTGGCTTGTACCGAGCCGCATCTCTCCTCAGTTCCCGGGTGGGACTTGGAAGTGCCCTGCACCCCGCCAGCTCTCCCTGCTCCCACGGGCCACACCTGCACGAGGCAAGACGCAGGCCTCCACCCGCCCGGGGCCAGTTAGAAGGGTAGAGGAGGGGCCCAGGGTCAGCGGCCAGTGGACATAGGAGGTGTTAATGGCGCAGTTGTGGTTAGAGGCACGTGGGGAGGGTACCTCGGTCACCATAGTGAAGCGACAAAACCTCTTCTGGGAGGGGAGAGGGAGAAAGGAAGAGAATGTCGGCAAGAGAAGGACGCGGTGGGACCTGCAGAGGGCAGGCTAGAGCCCCCTGCTCCCACACCGCAGAGGCCAGGCCTGCAAAGCCAGGCCGTGCCCGCCGGCCCCTTCTGCCGCTCGCGCTTCTGACCTTGGCTGCACTGCGCAGGTGGTCGTAGTACACTTCCTCGATGGCCTGGAAGTAGATGACCCCCTTCAGCCTCGTCTCATGCTTGTCTGCAAATGATGAGGGCCGGGATCAGGAGGGCGGAGCCAAGGTGCACACGTCCTAAGCTTCCGGCTCTGGGAGGTGGGTGGTGGGTGTGGCTGCCCTGCACGCCCAGCACAGGCCAGCAGGGACCTTGTTCAGCCCCGGCCGCAGTCATTGCAGAATGCAAATGACACCTTACTGCAGGGAGAATTCACGGCACCGTTTTGGCACGGCCATGGAGAAACATGCAGTCCAACCGAGGGCAGGTGGGAGTAACAAAACTCTCGGGAGCAATTTGACCACAACCGTCAAAATTAGAAAGGTAAGCCGGGGCACCGGTGGCACGTGCCGACAATCGTAGCCACTCAGGATGCTCTAGTCTGAGAATCGTGGTTCAAAGCCAGCCAGAACAGGAAAGTCCATGACACTCAGGAAAGTCCATGAGACTCACCTCTAATTAACCACCAAAAAGGGGAAATGGAGTTGTGGTTCAAGCGGTAGAGCACCAGTCTTGAGCACAAAGCTCAGCAACAGCACCCAGGCCCTGAGTTCAAGCCCCGGGACCACCACAACAAACTAGAAAGGTGCCAGGCATAGTAGTGCACAAATGTCATCCCTAGAAGGCTGAGGCAGGAGAACAGAGTTCAAGACTAGTCTGGGCTAATTAGTGAGACCCTGTCTCACATAAATAGATAAATAAAACTCAAGTATCCATCAAGTAGAGATGGTCTAATAAATCATGGTGGTGCATAGGATGGAATATTGATACCAATGGGTCTTGGCAGTTTTTTTGCTTTGGGAAGTACTGGGGCTTGCACTCTACCACTTGAGCCACACCCCGAGACCTATGATGGACTATCATGCATCTGATAAACACAATAATACAGAAATATCAGAAATACATGGAGAAATCTATCACTAGGTATAGATTGAAAAATACGTCTATAAAATACACCTAGTTGCCAGGCACGGGTGGCTCATGCCTATATTCCTAGCTACTCAGGAGTAGCTGAGATCTGAGGACCATGATTTGAAGCCAAACCGGGCAGGAAAGTCCACGAGACTCTTTATTTCTAATAAACTACTCAGAAAAAGCCGAAAGTGGTATTGTGGCTCAAGTGGTACAGTGCTACCACTGAGCACAAAAAGGCCCAGGGACAGAGCCCAGGCCCTTAGTTCAAGCCCCAGGGCCAGAAAAAAAAAGCACCTAGTTGTAAATACCTAAAGCTCTATTTGATAGAGAAAGATCACTAAGCCACCTGAGGAGGCAGAAAAGGAATGCACAGTATTACCTGCTACCTTTGATATTTTAAAAGAGAGAGAGATAAGAATGTGTGAGTCACCACGCAGCAGTGGCTCACGCCTGTCATCCTAGCTACTCAGGAGGCTGAGATCTGAGGATTGTGATTCAAAGCCAGCCCAGGCAGGAAAGTCTGTGAGACTCTTATCTCCAATTAACCATCAGAAAACTGGAAGTGGCGCTGTGGCTCAAGTGGTAGAGCGTTAGCCTTGAGCTGAAGAGCTGAGGGACAGCGCCCAGGCCCAGAGTTCAAGCCTCACGACTGACCAAAAAAAAAAAAAAAGAATCTTTGGTGAGGATATTTCTCAAACTTTTTCGTACATCTCAATATTGAGCCATATGGACATGCTGACATATCGAGAAGAAAAAGGTACCACGGAGCCTGCGGTGCCCACATAAGGCTCCACTGGGTGTGAACAGCATTAGCGGCCGCACACACAGCATAACTGAGATCGGTTGGCAGGAGGAAGGAGGGAAGCCTGCAGAGCGAGGGGACCGCGGGGTATGGAAAGCTGAGCCTGCGCCCTTCGTCTGTGGTCCACACGGCCGATAGCCGTGACCAGGAGCCTGAGCCCCACGGGAGAGGCCATGCCGGTCACTAAGGTCAGAGGCGACAGCTGGTGGTAAGCTCCTCCTGACCCCTCTCCCGCCCTGGGGTTATTTCAGGCCAAGTCCCGGATGGCCTGCATTGCTGGTCCTGGCTCCAGCCTTCCCAGGGCCCACCCTGGGACCTCCAACTCGTCTTCCACCATGCAGAGGGAGAAGCTTCCAAAAGCAAACCTGAGCCTGCAACTTCAGCCCCCACCTCCCCTGCCGGCTCCTCTTCGGGGAAGCAGCTGCCTTCTTGGCCGGGCACAGGCCCTGTGGAGACTGGTGTCCCATGCCCCCCCCTTGCCTCCCAGGCTCCCAGCACGGACGCCAAGTCCAGGAGCCGGCTGAGCTCCTCACCACCCCCAGCCGGCCCGCTCTGCATGCACTGGAATGGTTTCCTTCTGCTCGTTCCCTTGGCAAACTCCTAAGCAACCTTCAAGACTCATGGCAAAAATCATCACTACAACACACCATGGTGAATGCCCTGTCTAGAATTCACCATGCTGAATCTGAGCCCTCCTCGATCCATTCATAACTTCACCTGTGCCAATACCAGCCGCACATCACGGCGCCAGAACAATGTGGGGGTGGGGAAGTCCTTGGCACCGAGACCCAGAGGTGCAGCTCCGCAGCAGATCAGCTGCCTAGCATGAGCAAGGCCCCCGTCCCACCCGCGTGTCACCAAACCAAACCCTCTCCGAGAGTGGGGAGAGGGTGTGAACGCAGCTTCCCATGAGCCAGGGGGTGGTTAGGAAATCCAGGCCTGCAGCTTGCTAACAAGCGCACAATGCAAGAACACATTCAAAGCATCTAGCACCTGTCACTTCACCACAATGAGCCCGGATGACGTCCCAGGACAGACAGACCCCGGAGAACTGCTCGGAGGAGGGTGGGAGCTGGCCTGGGCAAGGTAGACTCTCCAAAGCCTTCACAGAGCCCACCTGTACCTGGCTGCCGGCCCCATGGGCAAGGCACATCGGGTTCCTGGTCCTTGTCCCATCTCCAATGCTTCTCCCTCAGGGCAAGGACCCTGGCTCTAGGCCTGGCCACCCCGCTGGCTCCTGCTGGCTCCCACTCCTTCCTTCACTGGAAAGAGTGACCCGCCCCTCTCCACCCACCCCGCCTTGGGCGGCTCGGGTCTGGCCCCGCCCGTATCCTCTCCATCGCTCTAATTCTGGATTTAACAGCCTTTGGACCACACCACCCCTGGCCTTGCTGTGACACCCATTATCTCTGGTAATACCTCTGGCTGTCAAATGTCTGCTTCCTTCTGTTTCTACCTCCTGCCAGAACGTGGTCTCCTTTTGTTTCATAGATGTGAAGGATGGCTGCAATTGGCAAGCACCAGCCCAGCACCTGGCACAGGGTCAGTGCTGGCTTCCTGCCTGTGCCAGCCTCTCCTGCTCCTTCCTTACACAGGAAGTTGCGCCCGGAACTGGATCTCTCTCCACTTCCGCTCTGTCTCTTAGAGCTTAGGAGACTGGGCAAGCGTCCTGATCTTTAACACATGTGTTCCCTATTTAGTTCTAATTAGCTTTGCTCGTAGGAGTGCAAGCCTGGAGGCCGCTGAGCGTGGCACTTGGCTCACATGTGCGGCTAGATAGCATAAACGTGCGCTCTTGTGATTGTGTGTTATCACCACCGACTCAACTATCACTCTGCCTCTCACCTTGACCTTTCTCCGAAGTGAGCAGTCTATCAGCCTCAACATCCTCCCTGCACCTGCTTCTCCCTCTCCCGAAAGCCCCTGGCCGCCCCAGCCCAGGTGAGGAGAACACCTGTGGCCCTGCCCCTCCCCAGCCAGGGCTCGGGAGGGGAGGGGAGGACGCCAGGACTCTGTGGTGCGCAGGGCCATGGTTCCTCAGCCAGCCCCTCGTTCTGGGCCGGGGAGGGCTCTGCACCTCATGCTCCACCAAGGGAAATGCAGACGGGGTTTGAGAGGGCAAACTACACAGAACCAGGGCAAGGGGACAGGTGGGAGCTGCCTGCCCTGGGCTGGCCCTGCTTAGTGCTGAGGAGTCCTGAGGGAGCTGAGCGGCGGCCCCGGGCCTCACCCAGTGCTCACGGCGGCTGTCGTCCGTCAGAAAACTTGCTGCTACTTTATTACTGTTATTATTATTTGTGAGCTAGCCAGTACTGGGGCTTGGACTCCAGGCCTGGGAGCTGTCTTTTAGCTTTTTCACTCAAGGCTGGTGCTCTACTACTTGAGCCACACCCTCACTTCCGGCCTTTTGGTGATTAACTGGACACAATCGTCTCATGGACTTTCCTGCCTGGGCTGGACTCAGATCTGAGCCTCCTGAGTCACTAGGATTACAGGCCTGAGCCCCTAATGCAGGGCTTACTGTGATTCAACTCTTTGATCAGTATCTGCCACCCTGGGAATGAGCTCCAGGAGAGTGAGCTGTGGCCATCTTGCTTGTCCCATAGCCTAGAACTCTGCCCGGAACCTTCTAAATGCTCAGTAATACTAGAGAGTGAGCACGTGGAGATGAACCAAGTACATTCTACGCTTTTGCCAGCCAGAGCCTCTGGACCCCTCCTTGGAGACTTCTGGATTCACTGTGGGGGATGTGGAACCCCGGGCCCCTGCTCTGTGCGCAGGGCTGCCCGGTGACACTCACCCACATAGTAGGAGAGGGTGCGCTTGAGCCGGTCAAACACAAACCAGCGCTTCTTCCACGACTTAATCTTGCCGCCCATCTTGACCAAGTAGCCACGGCAGACCTGGTGGGAAGGGGCGATGAGGAAGGACCGAACGGGAGGTTGCAGGCGTTTCTCCATTCCATTGTCGGTCCCCGTACTCATGGGGCTGTCCCCGCATCCCCTCAGGCAGACACCAATCTAACCACCCCACCCGGCCAGGCTGGGGCAGGAATCGAGGCCACTGTTCCACGGCCCGTGAGGGCCTCTGACGCTGCGCCCGGTTCCCGGCGGCCTGTGCCGTGCAGGCCTGGTACCTTGCTGCTGAGCACCACGTGCAGGCACGTGTCCACTCCGTGGCCTGAGGACTCGATGTGCGTCTTCAGGTCAAAGTCCTCCTTCCGGATTGGCAGGTAACGGGTCAGGGGTCGAGCCTGGGGGCAAAGGGCAAGGTCAGCAATCTCTCGTCCCATCATTCCCTTGCCCTCACCTCTCATCTTCAGTCCTGAATCCCCTCCAACCTAACACACACGCGTGCACATATGCGCACACATGTGCACACACACACTCACACCCCTCAGCTGGAACAAGCCTGAGTGGCTCTCTGCTTCTGGGGGCCAATGAGTCCCAGGTGTAGGTTGGCTTGTGCAAAGCAAACAGCGATATGTGTGTGTGCACACGCACACGAGTGCACGCCAGTACTGGACCTTGAATTCAGAACCTGGGCACTGTCCCTTAGCATTTCACTCAAGGTTGTCACGCTATTACTTGAGCCACTGCTCCACTTCAAACTTCTTAGTAATTAATTGGCAGTAAGAGTCTCATGGACTTTCCCACTCTGGCTGGCTTCAAAGAGTGATCCTCAGATCTTGGCCTCCTGTGAAGCTAGGATTACAGGTGTGAGCCACAGGTGTCAGGCTGCCAACAGCAACTAGAAAACAGGCTCAACAGCCCAGAAGAGAGCCCGAGATGTCCCTACTCCCCTACAGCCTTCACCATCCAGCCGGCCACCACCACACCCTGCACCCGCTAACCTGGGAAAACTGCTTCTCCCGCATCTTGACCTCCTTCTCCACCAGCTGCTGCCTCCGGGCACTCTCGCTCTGCAGCCTCCGCTCTACCTGCTCGCGCCTCCGCCGCTCCTCCTCCAGGGCCTGCCGCCGCTGCTCCATCTCCCGTTCCTGGCACAAAGCCAGCGATCAGTGCCCACAGTCAGCCTGGGGTTCCCCCCTCCCCGCTCTCTTCAGGCCTGAGCAGACCCGCAGGAGGCATGCACCTCCGATGCTGGCCTGACAGAAGAGGCCCACCCTCTCCACCGGCTCTGTTGGCTGAGAACAAATGCCTTCATCAGTGATTGCCCTGGCTTAGAGCCTTGCTCTGCTACCACTATGGGCTGTGACTCAACACCTCATTTCAGCTCTCTACACCTCATATGCCTCATCTGAAAAATGGGACTCAGAACACCTCCTTCTGGGCCAGGTATCGCTGGCTCATGCCTGTCATCCTAGATACTCAGGAGGCTGAGATCTGAGGATCATGGTTTGAAACCAGCCAAGGCAGGATGTCTGTGAGACTCTTCTCTCCAATTAACCACCAAAAAGTGGGTTAGTGGAGCTGTGACTCAAAGTGGTAGAGTGCTAGCCTTGTGCCAAAAAGCTCAGGGACAGCGCCGAGGGCCTGAATTCAAGTCCCATGATCAATTAAAAAGAACAAAAAGATGCAGAGTGCCTCAAAAGAGATAGATCACCTGCAATGTGTCCCGCGTGCCCCCAGGCACAGGTTCCCTCGGCCTGTTTGTGCCCACGGCCCCTCTCTGCCAAGTCCCAGCTTGAAAGGGACATGACTGGCCTCCTTCAGGACTCCTCAGGCAAAACCTTTGTCTTGGCTTGGCTGCCTGCCTCCTCCATTCTATACTGCAACCCCCAGGTCCTGCGTCCTGCATTTCCTAATCATCCCCCAAAGGAACGGGTTAGGAATCAAAAGCCCCATGGCTCTTAAAGGGTCCTCAGAAATAAGCCTCGGGGCAGAGGCTACAATACAAGACACCTAGGACTGGAACGAGGTCATTGTCCGGCAGTCTTCCGTCCTGCCACGCTGGGAGGCCTCAACCTGCTGGGTCTCCCATGCCCCAGTTGAGAAACACAAACGTGTACAGCGCTTTACCCTGAGGGCGCGCTGTGCAGTTCATGGGGGTGGAAGGGCTTGGCAGGCAGAGGGCCGCTCTCCGCCCCACCGCTCCTGCCTCCGGGCTGAGCCAGCCTCACCCTGGACTCCATGAGACGGCTCTTCTCCGCGTGGGCCTCTCTCAGCATCTTCTCCATCTCTTCGATCTTGCCCAAATCCAGACCACTGGTGCTGGGAAGGAAAAGGGGAGAGAAGAGGTGTCAAGGCGTGGGAGGGGAGCTGTGGCAGGGGCGGCGGGCGGGGCGTGGGAGGCACCTGGACATGTCGGGGGAGCAGGCCGAGTTGCCCCCCGTGGAGATGCTGGTCTCCATGCTGTCTGAGCTCTCCAGGCTCAGCGTGTCGTAGGCATGCTCACCCTCCTCGCCACGCTCCCGCCCGGCAGGCAGGTGGTGCAGGATGGAGTGGTGCATGATGGGGGGGAAGGCCGAGGGGCCTGCGGGGAAGGGCGCCGCCCCGTGCAGGGCTTCCCACTGGCACTGCGCCTCGGCCGCCGCCTTCTGCTTCAGCTCAGCCAGCCGGCGGCGCTGCTCCTCGATCACCTGCTGCCCTGGGGGAGGGACGGGTGGGCGTCACCGTGTGCTCTCCACCAATCCGGAGAGGGGACACAGGAGCAGCATGGCCAGAGCAAGGGTGAACAGGGGGCAGCCCTCCAGCACCAGCAACCCGGAAGCCCCCACAGCTCCGGGCCGGGGACTCCACCAAGGTCAGGCTCTGGTCCTTTGCACGTCCTGAGCCCGCACAGGGAACAGCCCAGCCCAGCTGGTGCCCAGGAAGCATGATGGCCAGTGGCCCCAGACCACAACCAAGGCTTGCACACGTGAGCAGGGCGCATGCAGCACCCTGCCTACTGCGGGAGGAGCCAGGGGAGCTGGCAGGAGCCACGGGGGGGGGGGGTCCCCCACAGTGCAGAAGCGAGAGCAAGATCAGAAGAGAAGACCTCGGAGACAAGAGGGTACAGAGCCAAGCACCCCAACCCAGCGAAGCCTGGGAGCCTGTCTAGGGGGGGGGGGGAGGGGGGACACATGCTGACACGGCAGGGGGGCCTGGCCAAAGCCACGCCCTCATGACCTCTACCTGCTGGGTCGTCGGATGGGAGGGGCTCGGCAGGAAGCAACTCGACTGGCGTGGGGGACCCCAGGCAGAGGGTGCAGGAGAGAGACACAGAGGGGATCAGAGGAGAGAGAGGCACAGACACGGGCTTTCAAAACAACCCAAAATGCACACTGGGTCCCCGGAGCCAGTGTCTCAGAGAACGGATGCTGGAGGTCACCAGGGCCCGCCTGTGCTGACAGGGCGACGTAGCCCTGCTGGGCTAACAGCACGCCCCTAAGGGCCGCCGTTCTCCATGATGCCCAGCCTCCCCGACCCCTCATCCCAGCCTGGAGTCTTTATTAAAACAATGTCCAGGAAAGCGCTTCTTTTGTTGTCGGAACTAAATTCCTCCTGCTCTTGCACAGAACTCAAAGGACAAAACCATGGGGGGGGGGGGGGGGTGGATGAGGACGTGGGGGCGGGGCTGGCATGGCGGCCACTCACCCTTCTGCTGCAAGGCCAGCTGCCGCTTGGTCTCGATGTCCTGCAGTGTGGCTGCGAGGTTGCGAGGGAGGCTGCCCGTGCCGTTCTGTGAGAGCAGAGCACTCTGCGGAGCAAAGACAGCGTGGGCACGGGGGCCTGGCACACTCACGCTCCCCCCGGGCCCTGCATGGCCGTCCCCATCCCCACCACCATCTGCTTCCTCAGACCTTCGGGGAGGGGCTGCGGCCTAGAGTAGCCACACTGAGCTGGGAGGAAGAGGAGGAGGAGCCAGAGGAGGAAGGCAGGGGGCCACTCCGGGTCCTGGGCAAGGGGCTGGTGAGCTCACCATCCATCTTGGAACGATAAACCTAGAGAGAAGAGACGGTGCCCAGTGAGCCCCAGCTCCTTCGCTGGCTGACACTGCCGTGTCACTCGGGCCAGCTGTGATGGGAGGCGACACCCCAGCACCAGGCCTCTGAGGCCTTTCTGGCTCCAGCTGGCCATGGGGTTGGGCCTCCTGGACTGGCCCAGTGGGCAGAATCCAGTAGCAGCTGCCAGGCCTGTTTGCAGCCTTTATTCCCTGAGCCAATCTGTGGCTGAACCCAAGCTCTGCGACAGACCTGAGAGCTGACCTCACAGCCAGCTGTGTGACCTTGGACCACGTGCCCAAGCCCAGGCTGCCTTGTCTGCTAAGGAAGGAGCAGGAGTAGAGTAAATAAGGGACAAGCCCTGCCCAGCACTGAGGCATGACGGCCATGGCTTTTGGACCCCTGGCTGTGTGGGGTCTGCGTGAGATCACACACCTTCCCCGCGCCCCAGAGTCTGATCTGAGAAATGAGAGCCAACACCATCTGCCTCCAAGGGCTATGATGATGATGAGATGAATCAAAGCCGGTCAACGCCCCCAGCCAGCTGGACATCCAGTGCGGGCGTCACGTGTGTTACACGACTCAGATTCCTCCAGAAGGAACACAGGGGTTTAGCTGAGGTCAGCCCCTCATTCAAGAATGAATTTTGAGTGGTGGAATCTTAAGGTCTAGAGGGGAGAGGGAGAGGACATCCAAGCCCTTGTCCCTCCACGGGGCAAACCTCAGGAGGCAGGAAGGTCTTGAGACTCCTTGTCCTCCTCTTTGCTGCCTCCAAGTGCCTCCCCTGGGAAGATCAGGAGAAGGAAACATCGGCAGCTCCCCAAGGGCACACTGGTTCCAGCGTCAATGGACCCCAGAGAGTGTCCAGGTCCCAGAGTCGGTGAGGAGTTCTGGGGAGAACTCCTTTCCATTAGGCTCCTCAGGAGGCTGGACCTCCAGCGGCCCCATGTGCCAGGATGGCAGGATGGCTGCCTGGGGAGAGACCCGCCCTCCCCAGGCCCAGAAGGCCTGACTTGCTCTGCTGGCTGAGCCCACTAGCCAAGGCACGCTGTGTGGTTGAAGGATCTGCAGGCGACACTCACAGCAGGCAAGAGCGCGACCTGGGGAGGACCAGCGGTGAGGGTTACCTGAAGCTGACGGGCAGCTTTGGCGGGCAGAGGTGGGGGGGAGGAGCGAGGGGAGGCAGCAGCAGGGCCAGTCCTCAGCCCGGCCATCAGCTCCTGGTACCACTGCTCTAAGTCTACAGCGGGGAGCAGCAGCTTCTCCATCTGGAGGGGCAGGAGGAGGGCAAGGATAGAGAGGGAGGGCCAGGACAGGAAGGGGAGGAAGAGGAAGAAGGAAGGATAGGATGAGAGAACATAAGACGGGAGGGAGAGGGAAGGGAAAGGAGGGAGGAAGGGAGTGAGGGTGGGTGGGAAGGAGGAAGGCAGGAGCGCATAAAGAGAAGAAGAAAAACAGTGAGATGACAGTTGTCCTCAATGGGCTAAAGGCAAAGAGAAAGAGTCGGAGTACAAATCCCAGAGTGGCAGACACATGCTCGCCTGCCAGCCGGCCGGCCAGCCGGGCCTGCAGGTGCCAGATACTCCCCTGGGATTGGCCTAGAGCCGCGAGGCCAGCGAGCAGGGGCCACACACACCCAGACAGAGCACATCAGCCGGGGGGCGGGGAAGGCACCCACCTTGGGTGAAGGCGTGACGGAAGCCAAGGAGGAGGAGGAGGAGGAGGACAGCACAGGAGGAAGGCAGGTGGTGGGAACCAGGTCCCGGGGACACAGACCTGGCGTGGGGGGCGGGGGCGTGGGCGAGGAACCCCACGTCACCTTTAGCTGATCAAGCGTCACGTACTTGGGGGGGAGGCCGGATGTAGGAGGGAATACAAGAAGTAAATGGGACTGGAAGCCAAGGGCTCACGCTAACCCATGGGGGGCGGGGGGGGGGGGGGAGGAGGCACAGAGGGAGAGCGGCCCTGGTGCTGACAGCCACAGTCCTTCCGAGAACAGAAGGCCAGGCCTGCCCCACCCCAGGCCAGCAGGAGCTGAGGACAGCTCCCAAGGCTCCAGGGAAGAAAGGAATCCATTGTGGAGCCCTTGAGCCAGCTGCCCTCCTCCCCTGCTGCTGGAGACAGACCCTGCCGTCCCCCCGCCTCCTCCCAGACTGAGGCACGGTGGAGGCCCCTGGCACAGGTGGGCACACTTGGTGGCTGGTACCTCGCTCTCAGGCAGGGTCTGGGGGAGCACGCTGGGGAAGGTGGTAGAAGCAGAGGGGTCCAAGCAGGCGCACAGCTGGAGAGCCTCTGCCAGACTCACATACTCCTAGAGTGCCCGCGGCAGGGGCAGAGAAGAGGTTAATAGGGTTCAACTAAGTGCCCCACGTTCCACACTGCATGCCAGGCACAGGGTCGGCGCTCCATGTCAAGATGACAGCAGAGCCGAGCTGAAGCTCTCAGCTGTCCACAAGGAGCAAAGGTGGCTGTCGGGGCCACGGTACCCACAGGGCCCGAGGGTGGGCAGACCTGAGGGCCGCAGGTGCCTCTTGATCTCCCCTTTGGGCCCTCTTGGCATTTAGCCATTATCCCGAGCACACCCAGGCCTGGGGTGGCCCAGGGAAAGCTTCCAGGAGTCCTCTGAGGAGCAGGTCTCAGCTCCTGCAAACGCTCGTCTCCAGCATCCTGAAACATCCCCGGGGGACACACACATGCAGTCTCACACACCTGCCACAGAATTCCCCAGGGTCCCCCTCTAGTCTCCAAGCAGGAGCTGGCACTAGGTGTGGGCTGGAAACATCACTAGGGCCCAAGCTGGAGAAGCTTTGAAAGAAGCCTTTCCAGAGAGCAGAGACAATCCCTGGCTGAAAAACAGGTCCACTGTCCAGTAGAAAGATGCCAGTCCATCATTCTACGCGTTGGAAGGACCTGGAGCATTGTTCCTGTCGCATATCCTGACACTCTGAGATTATCTGGGTACCAGGCCAGGGCAGGCAGCCAGCGTGCTATACCCCAAACTTAGGACCCAAGCACACAGGCCACTTAAAAGGAAAATGAGCCACGGAGTCCAGTGTGTTGTATGAACTGGTGAGTGGCATGCAGAACACACGCAAATCATATTCAAATCAGCATTCCCAATTTGCATGGCCTAGCTAGGCAGGATGGCATATTCACACCAACTCCCAAGCTCTGCTCCCACTGGCCCTTTAGCTGGGCCCTGGGGAGGAGCTGAAGGCAGGAGCTGGTCAGGGAGGCAGCCAGGCAGTAGGCAAAGCAGAGCACCCAGTCAGCCATGATTACCTCTTGTGCTTTGGGGCAGAGTGAAGTAGAAGTAGGAGAGGTTAAGTGGACAGGGGAGCCCCCGGCCTGAGAAGAGCCTGAGGATGGGCTCAGAGCCTTGGTCCCCAGCCCCATCTCCGAGGACTCGGAGGTAAGCAGCTGAGCCTACAGAGAGGGTACATGGTGAGCGGCTTCTCCCTCACACTGTTCAGTCCAGCCACCCTCCCTAAAGCCGAGACAGGGAGGGAGCGGAGAAGTCAGGAAGCCCAGCTGGACCTCACACACCAATTGTTCAGACCCGGGAAAGAGCGGCTCAAAGGACCCACTTCTCACTTGCAAGCTGAGGGCCTGACTGCGGACTGCAGCCCCGGAAGCCCCAGGATGAGGACCCTTAGAGCTCCGTGCTCGAGACCGGCTCACTCAACCCTGCCAGCTCCCCCAAACCTCTGAGCTCTCAGCCCACCCCAGTTGGGGCCTCTGAGCCCCTCATCTATATGCAGCCATCCCAAATGGTGAGTTCAGTGGGCACCTAAGAGCCCAAAGGGCAGCTGAAAAGCAGCAGCTGGCAAGCACGGACGGTCAGGCCTCAGGGCCCTCCTCCACCTCCTCCACCTCACAGGTGGGCATCCGTGGCTCCCGCCTGTAATCCTAGCTACTCGGGAGGCTGAGATCTAAGGATCTCAGTTCAAAGACTCTTATCTCCAATTAACCACTAGAAAGCCAAAAGTGGCGCTGTGGCTCAAGTGGCAGAGAGCTAGCTCGCCTTGAGCTGAAGAGCTGAGGCACAGCACCCAGGCCCAGAGTTCAAGCCCCACGACTGGCAAAAACAAAAACAAAAACTAAACTTCTCCACTTCAGCAGGTAGCCCCATATCCAACCCTCATGGACCCAAAGCCGGGGTTCACTCAACCATGTTACCTCTTTGAGGGTTGAGGTGGTCTTCGGGAAAGGCCTGCCTCCCGTGAGCGAGTAGTATTTCCTTTCCAGCACCGTTAATTTCTCCTTCTCCTGGGAGCCCAGAATGATGGAATTAGAATTGGGACTGAGAGTAAAGGAACTGTAAAGCGGTTCCAGGTCCCCTCCCTTCCCCCACCATTTTCCACTGGCCAAGGAGGGGGGGGGGGTATACCTTCTGCAGTAGCTGCAGGGTGGCATTCTTGTCTCGAGCCAGGCGTTCTGATTCCTGCACCGCCTGAGTCCGGATCTGCCCAGCCTGACTATCCAGGACAGCCAGGTGCTCCTAAGGAAAGATGGGGGGGGGGGGGGGGTTAGAGGTTGCTTAGGGAGGCAGGGCGAAGCCTAAGGTGAAGTATGGCTGACTCTCCTGCCTAGAGAGCCTGGGATACATCAAGGGAACCAACCTCTTCCACTCGGCCTCAACTTTCCCCAGGAACACTTGGGCTCTTGGTCCTTCAACCCGTGACCCCCTGCGCCACTAAGCATGCTAGCCACGACTCAAATTCCCCCTTCCCTTACCCTACTCTGGGCCAATGAGTCCCAAAGCCTAACAACACCAAACAGTTCTGCTCGCCACCACCCAGATCCTGACCTTCTGCTCCTGGCTGGCTTCCCACAGCCTCCTGCCTTCTCTTTCACAGTTTTCTGATCCACAAAATATCTTCCTAAAATGGCCTTTGGGCTGGTTTCCTTATTGGAATTTTATGATCTTTCTGAAACACATTATTTGAGTAAATTCTCTGTGTTTGGTTTGGAGGCAAGATGGCCATGAAGTCTTGGACTCAACAATCCTCCTGCCTCTGTCTCCTTAGATCCTGAGCGAGCACCAATGTACTATCTCTTGAGTCAACTGTGCGTGTGCATGTGTGTGTGTGTGTGTGTGTGTGTGTGTGTATGTGTGTGTACATGCATGTCTGCCTATAGTGGGGTTTGAGCCTGGGTGCTGTCCTTTAGATTTTTTTACTCAAGGTTAGTGCACTACCAACTGTGCCACAATTCTACTTCTAGCTTTTTACTGGTCAACTAAAGATAAGAGTCTCATAGGCTTTCCTGCCCAAGGTGGTTTCAAATCTTAATTCTCAGATTTCTTGAGCTCAGGGACAGTGCCTAGGTTGAGTTTGAACCTCAGGACTGGTGGGCGGGCACTCGTATGTGAGCGCGTGCACACAAACTCATACACACACATATACCTAGAAGAACACTGGTAAAGGTTTTGCATTTTGCACTTGCCACTTCACTTAACCTTGAAGCAGGTGCCCATTTTACAGAGAGGACAGTGACAAGGTTAGGAGCTAAGGTCTTTGCTAGAACTGGTAGAGCTAGGGCTGCAACCAGATCTGCCCTTCTAAGAGCAGTCCTTTCCATCCCTCTGGGTCAGAGTGGACAGAGGAGCACAGAGCCTCAGGGCAGACAGAGCCTGGGGTAGGGGGGCACCAGAGACGGAGGATGTGCTGGGCAAGCTTCCACGAGTGAATGTGAGGATCGATATACATACAGAGTTGGGCCAGCTCTTGGGGGCTAAGCTTGCCCTCCAAGGCCTAGGGTAGGGGTGAGGAGGGAAGTACAGTCCATCACTACTGCTGACCCTTCCAAGCTCCCTGGAGCTTCTGTCCAAATGGACCTCAAAAGGATGGGATCAACTGACCTAAGGCTCCAGAAGAAATGACTGGAGAAGTGCTGACCCCAGGTCCTTGGAACGAACCTGGGCTTTGGACTGGCACACCTGTGTCCCACCAGCTCACATGATGGGAGGGGAGTAGGCACCTTTCCAGAGCCCTCGTTTCCATGTCCTTCAAATGGGCATAAGAGCCGGGTACTGGTGGCTCACGCCTGTATCCTAGCTACTCAGGAGGCTGAGATCTGAGGATTGCGGTTCAAAGCCAGCCCAGGCAGGAAAGTCCATGAGACTCTTATCTCCAATAAACCACCAGAATACCAGAAGGGGCGCTGTGGCTCAAGTGGAGAGCTCTTGCCTTGAGCTGAAGAGCTGAGGGACAGCCCCCAGGCCCAGAGTTCAAGTCCCACAACCAACCAAAAAAACAACAACAACAAAAAAAAGGCGGGCATAAGAGAACAAGCTAAGGACAGCATGAGACCGCCCCAGGCAGCCTTCGAGCAGGGCGCCTGGCACCCAACCGTGTGCCTGGCAAATGCTGGTTTCCATCCCTCCGTGGCACTGTGGGACAGTGTTTGAATTTATCTATGCATTTACAAAGGCAGATGCACTCAAGGGGGAATTCAGGATCTGGACTCAGGATGTAATACAGTAGCCCCTGACCTCCCGCCAAACCCTGGCCACCGGAAGCACTGAGGTTTAAATTCAGGGCCCTGCACTTGCGGGGCAGATAGTCTACCATTTGAGCCTTACCCCCAGCCTGTTTTGCTTTTAGGTACTTTTAAACAGGGCCTCCCCTATTTGCCTGGGCTGGCCTAGGATATGCTCGTGTTTATGCTTCCCAGGAGCTGGGATGCCAGTGTGTGTGTGTCACCATGACGGAGCCCCAGCTGGTCTCAAACTTCAGTCCTCCCTATCTTAGCCTCCCCAGACGCTAGGATTACAGGTGTGTGCCACCGAACAGGCCCTGTCACACGTCTCACTGTCCTGATGCGTGATGCACGCACGCACACAGCCACACGCACTGAGGCACCTGAACCGTCTTCCCTGTCCCCTTCTCTGCCTCCCCCGTGGGCCACTCCTGGCCTTGGGTCCGTCCAACCCAAGTCAGATCTGCGCACAGCAGACGACCACCGCATTAGCTGGGCCAGGCGGACCCCCGGGTGGGGTTCCCAGAGCGCCGGCTCCCTCAAACGTCCAGATCTCGGATCTTCTGGACGGTTCTACAAAGCTTAGAGGGCCGGGGCGAGGCGGGGGCCGGGGCCCGGCGGGGGCAGGGGCCCGGCGGGGGCCCGGGGCGAGGCGGGGGCCGGGGCCCGGCGGGGGCCGGGGGCGAGGCGGGGGCCGGGGCGAGGCGGGGGCCGGGGCGAGGCGGGGGCCGGGGCCGGGCGGGGGCCGGGGCGAGGCGGGGGCAGGGGCCCGGTGGGGGCCGGGGCGAGGCGGGGGCCGGGGCGAGGCGGGGGCCGGGGCCCGGCGGGGGCCGGGGCGAGGCGGGGGCCGGGGCGAGGCGGGGGCCGGGGCCCGGCGGGGGCCCGGGGCGAGGCGGGGGCCGGGGCCGGGCGGGGGCCGGGGGCGAGGCGGGGGCCGGGGCCGGGCGGGGGCCGGGGCCGGGGCCCGGCGGCGCCCGCACCTTGCGCTGGGCGATGCTGCGCAGCAGCTCGGCCTCGCTCCGCAGCAGCCCCTGGCCGGCCAGCTCGCGCTCCTCCTCGGCGCGGCTCTGCCGCTCCAGCTGCTGGAACTCCAGGTCCTCGAAGAGCTTGGTCTCCGTCTCCAGGGCCTCCGCCTCCTTCAACGACAGCGACACCGGGGAGCGAGGGTTGGGGGGCGCTGGGCTGCGGTGGGGGCCCCGACCCCGGGGACGCGGGGGTCCGCCCGCCCGCCCCTGCGCCCCGCGCGGCACCGGGGCGCCGCCCCCCACACTCGGCCTCTGCCACCGACCCTGTGTCCGGCGGGCCCTGCGGGGCCGTCCCGCCCACCGCGCTCCTCCTCGGTCTGCGGTGGCGGGGCGGGGAGGGGGGGCACTGACCCTTCTCAGCTGCTCCAGTAACTGTTCCCGCACTGACTCGGGGCAGTTATCGAGCTGCGTCTGGAGCTCGGCGTAGAGCGCCTGGCGGGCCTCCAGGCGCCGGCGTCCCGCGGCCAGCTCCGCCCTCTCCTGGTCGGGGGAGGGGGGGGAGGCGGGGCACAGGGAGAGAGAACACACACTCCTCAACTCCGGGCCGGCAGGGGGCGCGGGAGGGCGGGGAGGGGAGCGCGGGGGAGGGCGGGGAGCGCAGGGCGGCGGGAGGAGGGAGAGGAGGGCAGGTGCGCGGGAAGACAGCACACTCCGGCCTGGCACCACTGGGCACAGGGGAGGGGCGGGAAGGCAGGGGAGGGGAGGGCAGGGAAGAGGAGAGGAAGGGCGGGCGGGAGGGAGGCAGGGCACAGGGAGAGGAGTTGAGCTCAACTCTCCAGCCGGGCCAGAACCTCCAAGCACAGGGGCTTAGAAGGGTGCAGGGGAGGGGAGGGGTGGGGGAGAGAGTAGAAAGGAAGAGAGGGTGGGGGCTCAGGGAGAGGAAAGCCTGGAGATGGAGGTGCAGGGAAGAGGAGGAGGAGGGGTGGGGGGAGAGCAGGAAGGGAAAAGCGGGGTAAGGAGGTGTCAGGCGGGACTCAGACTTGCAACAAAGGCCAGGGGCGCTGGCACAGGGTGAAAATGTTGGTCTCTCGGTGTCTAGAACCAGGAATGTTAGGTTCCACCAGAGCCTGCCCTTCCTCTCCAAGCAATCCAGAGCCTCAAGCTCCCCTACTGTCCAGAGACCAAAATTTAACCCTGGGAAAAAGGGATGGTTAAATTGGGGGGCGGGGGGGGCTGGGTGTGAATGGGGGGAGCTGAGGGTGTTAGAGACACAGCGGTGCAGCAGACCCCAGGACCCTAGCCCAACCCCACCTTGGCCCCCCTCCCCCTCCCGCCCAGGGAGAGGGTGGGGTGCTCGCACTGCAGGCTGAACTTCAGCAGGGATGAGGGTTGCAATTAGTTCGACCGTTGCCATGGTAACAGGAGCCCCAGGAGTGGGTCTACAGAGGTGGATGGTTGTCTGGAGTGAGATGACACCCCTGAGGGCGGTAGGGGGACGCAGGGAGGAGTTGGTGAGTCACCCCTCCCAAGGACAGGCAGAGGAGAAACTGATTACTGGTGCCAGAGCCAGAATAGGCCCATGGGCTGGGGGGTGGGGAGGGGAAGCAGAGTGAGCCTTCCCTGCCAGTCACCACCATCCCCATCCCCATGGACCCAGCTTGACCACCACTCCTTGAACGAAAGCCCAGAGGGACAGCAGAGCCCAGGCCTCTGCTCACCCCCAGGTCAATGGGAAGTGAGCGTAGGCAGGGTCCTTCTGGTATGCGCCCCCTTCCTGTCCATCCCAGAGGAAGGCCCTCATCATCAGGTCAGTTCCTGGGGTCCAGGGTCTCCCCGATCCTTGGATGCTGCCTTTAAAATACTCTATGTTCTCTGGTCTCCAGGAGGCGGAAAGGGGACACTCAGTCTCCCCTCCCCTCTCGTTGGCATTGTCTTAGTTCAGGGACGCTAAGGGGGCTAGCCAGTGAGTGGGTGGAGGCACTGTCCAAACCCTCCAAGGCCATGTCTACAGCTGGGCCTCCTTAGCCCTCAGCTGGGGGGACGGTGGGGGGGGGGCAGCCTTTCCAGTGGGAGCAGCTGTTCAGGCAGAGCAGCTCTTAGGCCAAGCATCTCCCCACCCTTATGCCCTTCTTGCCAGTGCACCATGGAGCACAATTGAGCTGCGTCCTCCTGCCAGTTCCTTTCTGATCGAAACCATGGGGGTGCCACACCAAGAAAAGGAGCAGGCAAATTAGTGGGGAAGAGACCAGGGGCACAAGGGCACCCATGGAGTTAGTGCAAAAGCAGGCGTGGCTCAGCCCTGCCTGGGTGGCCTGGCAGTTAGGGGCATGCGAAGAGCCCAGGACGGTGATTAGAGAGGGCGTTAGTGCAGGCCTGGTTGGCAAGCATGGAGTTAATTCGGCACAGAATTTGGGAGTGTGGTTTTGGGGGGCCAGAGCAACAGCTCAAAAAAAGAAAAAAGTCAAAAATATTTTGAAGTTCCTCAGAAATTGAGGGCAAGTGATAGATGCACTCAAAAAAACAAAACAGAAATCCAGAAGGAAAGTGGAATTCTCAGAAAAATACTGTCAACTCCAGAAATAGATGACCCCTCTCCACTTCAGAGCTTTTGGCACGGTGTTGGGCATCTTGGGCGTGGCTGGCACGGCCCCTGTGGGGCGGAGTGGCCCCTGCAGGCTGGCAGGAATCTGAAAGGGGCAGGGGCAGTTGCTGGGACCACGTGGGGTGGGAAGCAGCAGATCTCCAAGACACGGGAAGCAGAGGCCGGTGGGCCATCTCCCAAATACCACATCCTAAGCACCAGACGCATGCACCTGGGTCTTCATAGCAGGACCCTCAAGCTGGGCTCACTGCTATCCTGGAAAGGCCACCAAGGGCCCAGAATGGCAGGCACCCAGAGGCAGCACACAGAACCCAGATAGAGGAGTCCCCAAACACCAGCCCTAGCAGCACCCTCAAAGCTGGTACCTTCCACAGAGGACAAGTCCCCCTGTCCCCGGAGGGCCACAGAGATCATCTGATGTACAGGGTGGATGATGAGTAGGTATAGGGCCCCAGGGAAGGCATTTCTCCTTCTTTCCTGGGCCACTGGTACCCAGCACCAGGCCGGACCCAGGTATGGGTTACCTTGTCCCTCTCCTTCTGGATGCCCGTCTCCAAAGCCACCAGCTTCTCCTGCAACTGTTCCACTGCCTTCTGCTCCTTCTGTAGCAACGTCCGCTCGGCCTCCCTCTCTCCTTGCAGCAGAGCCCGCTCCATTTCTGCCTGGGGTAGACATGGAGGTCCCGGTCAAGGCAGTGGGCTCAGGCCCTGTTTGGGCCCAGGGCTCTGCGGGCCAGCTCACCCGTCCAGAGCTCACCTCTCTAGCTGCCTCCTGCAGCTGCTGTTCCAGCTCCTTCACTCGCACCTTGAGCTGCTCCACGCGCCCCAACACCTGTGCCCGCTCTTCTTCCAGGGCCAGCACCTCTCCTTGGAGCTTCGTGCTCGGTGCATCTTCATGCTGAAGAGGAGAAAGGAGCCATCAGCTGGGGAAACCTAGAACCTTCCAAGATCAGATCGCAGAGGCCTGACCACCCCATTCGTCAGGGCAAGAAGCAATAACCAGACTCAACAGAAGGCTGGTCCCCCTCCCTGCCAGGGAGGCAGTAAGGAGGGCTCAGCCACAGGGAATTTACCAGAGTGCCAATCCTGGGTGGAGCCGAAAGGCAGGTCGTAAAGCACTTATAGCTTGGGAAAGCTATCAACACCTCCCCTCTCTTCCTGGCCTCTTCCTTTCCACACTTCCAGCCTCAGTTGTCTTCCCAAGTATGACCCTTCCATTACTTCCCCCCCACACACACACACACACTGGGCCCTGGCCCTGTCTCTCCTCCCTGCCCTCCCCGCTGGGCGCCCCACGCCCCACCTCCTGCTGGGTGCTCTCTGTGCTGCTGCACTCCTCCTTGAGATTTTCCTCATCTGAGCGCTCCACACTCTCCCAGAGGCGCTGGGCAGCACCTCCAGGCTCCTCGCCACTCCTCCCAGAGGCTACAGTGGCCCCTGCCAGGCCTCGTGAGGGCCTCCGGCCTGCCAGTGCCAATGCTGCAGTAGCCTCGCCGATGCTGGGCAGCTCCCCGGCCTCAGGACCCCCGTCAGCCCGGCTGTACTCAGCACACAGGTTCAGGATGGTCTCCAGGCGCTGGCGTTCCTGGGGGAGGTGGACGGAGCAGGGCATGAGCGGGAGAAGGGAGCCAGGTCAATCAGTCATGAGAGTTAGAAGCTCAGTATCAAGTCAAGTGAGGCCCCAACCCCAAGACTTGTGGGAGAAAGAGAAAGCATTGCCCCAGAAGCGGGAAGGAGGAACTACCACGCTGTGTGCCACCTGTCCACATGGCCAGTGCTCCCATTTTCCTGTTTCCTTTCCTTTCTCTTGCAAGCTCAGGATGGGGCTTCCTTGTGGTCACACAAGGACACTCGCAAGCAGGTGGGCTGAAGACCACAGTGAGACACAGCTCAACTCGGGTGCTTGTGCTAGCCTAGGTACATGTGGATCTACAGGCACCGGGGCACAATGACACACTGGAACTGCCCCACAAGCGCATGCAGACAGACACTCCATGGGCACTGGCAGGTACACTGGTATTAACAGGTACCAGCCCCGACACGCACAAATGCACACTCGGAAGGGTAAACACAGTCTACATACAGCTAGATGGGCGCCTGCAGACAGACAGGGCTGGAAAGGAGACCCACAGGCCCGCACCCGACGCTCAGCCCAGACACACATGGAGAAGAGACAGACCTGGAGCGCGTCCTCTGTCCCACCACAGCTCCAGGCATTCACTGTCTGGCAGCCAGCAGGGTGGGCTACTGCAAAGTCTTTGAATGCTCAGGCCTAGGGATGAGCTCTCCGTGGCCCTGGGCCACTTAATCCACCCAATGAATAACCCCCATGCCCAGAAAGGGCCCACCTCAGGGGCCTAGGAGGACGGACAGCATTCATGTTCCTGGTCTGAGTCCTCTGTGTCCATCCACAGCACCTTCAGCACTAAGTCTTGGCCCCTGCGCCTCCCATGGTTCTCTGGAGTCCCTCGACCACCTCAAGTGTCTCTCACCACCCAATTTGCCCGGTTTTGCCCATTCAACACTTACCCAGCTTCCCTCCTGCTGCTTGCCCAGTTTCATGGTTAAAAAAAAAAAAAAATCCAGGAACTGAGCCTCAGCACCCAGGAGGCTGGGCCAGTGCCCGCTGCCTCCACCCTCAGGGCCCAGATAGGAGCCTGGCTGAGGTGGGAGGGGCAGGGCAGGCAGTCTCCAAGTCTTAAAGTGGCAGGTGGGGCAGGTCGGGGCTGGTGGGAGGTGTGTCTGGAGTGGGGGTGGGGACCAAGAGGCTGACTAGAGCAGCTGGGGGAGGCTGGGCGCACAGCTGCCGTGCCCAGCTCACTGCCCCTCTTAGGATAAGACCTCAGAGTGACCAAGCATTCTTTAAGTAGGACAGGGCAAACCAGTGATGAAAGGGTGCAAGAAAGGAAGAGTGGGGACACTGCCTCCCACAAAACACAGCCCACCCCAGACTAGACAGCCCTGCCCAATGGGTCTCCAGATAAACCTCAGCTCCGGTCCCAGGTCTCCAAGAATGCTAGGCTTCTGCTCACAAGGGAAAGAGGGTGGAATCCGTTCTACTGTGGGTGGCCTCACACATGCGTACACCAGCCGCAGGCCCTGAGCTAGCTGGGGAATCCTGGACCCCACCTAGTTCAGATGCCATCTCCAGGACAGCTGCCCAGAGCCACACCCGGCCTTGGAGCACCCACGAGTGCATAGGCACAAAGACACAGGCTGCCACCCCGGGCCTTCCCTCTTCCTCGCTATCCACACCTGGGCCAAGGTAAGCAGCTCCTGCCTATCTGTGGAGACCAAAGAGAACCAAGACAGGAGGACCAGGAGCTTGTCAAAAGAACAAGCAGCAAAGGTGGAAAGACAGAGGCTCTGATTCCCAGCTTTGCCAGAACTTGCTGTGTGACTCTGATTTCCAAGGTTCAATGGTAGAGTGCTTTGCCTAGCAGGTGCACAGGGCTAGGTTCCATCCCCAAGAGAGCATGTGCTCAGGCTCACACATGAGCGTGCACACGGGCCACACATGTGCACACACACATACACACACACACATTTTCCTCCCAGCAGCCTCTGTCTTTCCCTCCTAGCCATCTATTCTACGAAGGGAGAGCAGCAAATGTATGTTTTCTAGAACGTCACTGTACTTAGGTAAATAACGTGAAACTTAATTCACACATTAAAACAGAAGCTATGTCATAGAACACATGCCACGTCAACAAGAATTTAGAATAAAAGTCTTGGAGGATTTTGGGGTTTTTTTTGGGGGGGAGGGAGTTGGTTGTGGGGCCTGGGCGCTGTCCCTCAGCTCTTCAGCTCAAGGCTAGCGCTCTACTGCCTGAGCCACAGTGCCACTGACGGTTTTCTGGTGGTCTGTTGGAGATAAGAGTTTCATGGACTTTCCTGCCCGGACTGGCTTTGAACCGAGATCTTCAGATCTCAGCCTCCTAAGTAGCTAGGATTACAGGCATAAGCCACCGGCCCCCAGCACCTTGGAGGTTTCAAAGAGAGTTCTTCAGGACACCAGAACTCTAAAACGCTGTCCACAAGCCCCTCTGGCTCTGCTGGCTGGCCTGCCATGCCCTGGCAGAGACCCTGCCTTGGACAGCGGCAGCCTGCCTGGCACCTGCTTACCAGCCTCTCCATCTCCTGCTCCCGGAGCCGCTCTTGGCGCTGGCGCCGGTGGTACTCCAGGAGGTCGTCCTCGTTGTCGCTGATCTCGGTGATGCTATTTTTCCGCTCCCGAGTGACAGGCACCCGCAAGTCCCCGCTGGAGAGCTTCCTCTGGGCACGGGGGCTCTGCCGAGGCGAAGCTCCAGGAAGAGAGCCCAGACTGTAAGCTGGGCTCAGCCTGCCACTGAAGCTGCCCTTGAGGGGTGCCAGGGACTCCCCCAGTGTGGGCGAGGGGCTCCGTGTCCTGCGACCCCGTGCCCCCAGAGTCAGGGAGAAGTCTTCGGGCGAAGCCCCGTGGGCTGCCCAGCGCCGGGGCCGTGGACTCTCGGCCATGTCCCTGCTTAGCTTGGTGGCATCTGGGGTGGTCCGGGCAGGGAGTGGGGACAGAGCACGGCGAGACAAAGAGGGGCTCAATGGGGGGAGCTCTCGCATACTGTCCAGACCCCGCCGGCCCAGGCGGGGGCTCTCGGGGGGCTGCAGCGTGCGGGTGGCAGACCCATCGGAAAATGTCCGGCCCACCAGCTGGCGAGAGGGGCTGGTGGTCAGCCCCCGCTCGGTGCTGCTGGGGGGAGGCTCCCGGAAGGGGCTGGGAGGACGGTCCTGGAGTGTGCCGAGCTTGCTGCGAGGAGCAGGGACTGGAGACTGGAACTTGGGGCTGCCGGGAATGCTGGGGGGTTGGCTGCGGGCACCGGAAGCCGGGTATTCACTCAGGCTGATCGCTACCACGGGCAGCTGCCCACCCAGCCGGGGGCTCTCGGTGGCTCTTCGGGCCTCTGCCAGCACTGTGGCCGCAGGACTGTCAGTCAGCAGACCCCGGAGACCAGGGCTAGGAGGCCGCTCGTGACCCCCTTTCCTGCCCAGACGGGGGCTGTCAGAGGAGCGGGCACCACTCGGGCGAGACTGTGGGGGCTGCAGGGCCAAATGGTAGCTGGAGGAACGGGCAGGCACGAGCGGGGGCACGGAAGGCCCTGGCTCCTGCCCACTGGGGGAGTGGCTGGCACAGCTCCCACTGCTGGCTGGTGAGGAGAGTGGAGAGAAGGCCGGAGAGGTGTTCTCATAGCTGGAGCCTACAGACATGGCTCCCGGGCTGGTTGGGGGTGACAGCAGGTAGTGCCCACCGTTAGCCATGGGTGACAATGGAGAGGTTGCTGCAGGCTTCTTGCCAGCTGCTGCTGGCTCCTCTAGCACCAGTGAATCCATGATTTCCTGCAGATCCTTCTCAATAGAGCTCACCAGAGAGCTGTGGCTGGCGCAGGCTGAGGGTCTCCGGGTGGCAGGCTGTGGGGCGTGGTTGCCATTCACCAGGCTTTCTGATTCTGCTGACCAAAAACACAAGAGGTCTTGGGTGCTGATATTTAACTTTGGCTCACGCCTGTCATCCTAGCTACTCAGGAGGCTGAGATCTGAGGATCACGGTTCAAAGCCAGACCGGGCAGGAAACACCATGTGAGACTTATCTCCAATAAACCATCAGAAAAACCAGAAGTAACGCTGTGGCTCAAGTGGCTCAAGAGGTAGAGCGCTCGCCTTGAGCTGAAGAGCCCAGGCCCAGAGTTCAAGCCCCACAATCAACCAAAAAAAAAAAAAAAAAATCAGGTACCAGGCTTAAACCTAGGGCCTCCAATTCATTCTGCTGGCTTTCTCGGCAGGCACTGAACCACTTGATCCATACCTCCAGTCCTGCCCTCAGTTTCCCCTTCTGTAAAGAAAAAATTAGAGCTCTCCTGGCTCTAATATTTAATGACTGAGGACAGACAACAACAAAACCAGGTACACCTAAGTTTTGCTGTTGCCTCCTTGCCCTAACATTATATTCTTTCCTGTCTTCATTTTCCCCAACTTCCTATACCTCTCTAAAAAGGCAGGGATGAGCACTCGGCAAAGAAGATGACCAGATTCCGAGCCTCTCAGTCTAACAGGACATTACAGTAGCCAAGGCCCAAGGGGAACAAAGCCTCCGCGGTTGTAAGGGAGTGTGCTATACTCGGAGGTCCAATCAAAGACAGGGGAGGGGCTTCTGCTAATGGCTGGTTCCTGGACGCCAGGCTGGACAGCCAGGAGGTGCAGTTTCTGAGCCTCCAATTATCCCCGTTAAGCCAGCAAGAGCCTGCCTTCGCCTGGGCCCAGCCCTTGTCAACCAACCAGGAGTTTGGAGTCCTTGGAAGCACTGCCCATAGAGTTCAGGCAGTAGAATGATAGCCGGCGGGTGAATAGGGTGAAATTAGCTAGGGAGTGAACAGGGATTCTAGGTTTCTGTCCTCTGGAGGACCAGAAGACAACTGAAGTGGAGGAGAGAAGAAAAAGCCTCTGCCAGACTGAGTTTAGGTACAAAATGATATAGACTGCACTGGACCTGGGGGGTTGCCATGGATACCAGTGAGCCCAGTGACCATGTTACCATTCTTCAGATCTCCAACTATACATGTAGGCCACCGACGACCACCCAGCCAGCCACACCTGACCCAGATATCCATCTGGCACCTGAATGTCAGGAGTCTACAAGGTGGACCGACTGCTGGTCTCATGACCTGCACCCCAACCCCCAAGGCAGGTGGCAAAGGCGGCCTGTGTTGAAACAATTGCCAGTTCTCCTTGGAGGATCAATAAGTCACACACATCCTGCAGCTGCTCCTGAGTCACTGGTGACGCGGCCTGGCCCGGCCTGAGGGTCAAGTAGGAACACCAACCTGTGGGATCCACCGGAGCTCACCAGGGGTTCAACATAATGCTCAGATCACCCTCCAGAGTGACACTCTTTGGTGGTGACACAGAGGACCATGGTCCCAGACACTGAGCAGCACCTTCCAGGAAGTGCACTCAGGCTGGCAGAAACCTCTAGTCCTCGAGGGACAGGATTCCTCAGTTTTCGCCAACAGTATTGCTTTGGACCTCTTCCAGTGGCCCCACCGCCGCCTGGCTTTCTCCATGAGCCCATGGCAGGTGGCAGCAAGCCCAGACCATGGGTACTGCCCTATCCGCCCCCTGAGAGTGGCTGCAGTGCGCAACGACAGTTGCTCAACCCAGCCCCCTGCCCCAACTGGATACCTACCAGAGCCAGGGCTGTAGGGGGGCCCAGGGGCCCGACCCCCTGCTGGGATCATGCTCTTCATCCACTTGGCTTCAGCGGGGTGGTTGAAGCGGAGGAAAGTGGACTGACCCAGGCATAACATGCAGCCTGCAGAGAAAGCAACTGCTCTGAGGGAGAAGGCAGGGTGAGAGCCTCCCCGGGCCCGGCACTCCACAGCCTTACCCCAGGTGAACTCGGTGTGCACAATGCACACCGAACCCCTGAGACAGGGCCTTCCAGAACTCCAGAGCACAGGGCAGAGTGGAACGGGCACCGGCAGGACAGAATCTCCTCTCATTTATTTTTCTTGGGGGGGGAGGGTTGAACTCAGGGCTTGAGGTTTCTAGGGCAGTGCTCTACCACTTGAGTCACAGCCCCACTCCAGCTTTTTTTTTTGTTTTTTGCTTTAGTTACTTTTCAGTTCCAGTCTCAAGATTTTGCCTAGGACAGGCTTCAAACTCCATCTCCCTGTCTCTGCCTCTCTCATACCTAGGATTATAGTTGTACCCCACCATGCCCTGCATGGTTTATTTTGTTTTGGAGACAGGGTCTTACGATGCTTACCCGTGCTGGCCTCAAACTCTCAATTCTCCTGCCTCAGCCTCATGACTCTCAGATTATAGGCATTCACCATCACAACTAACTCTTCTTTTTCTTACTAGCTGTGAAATCTTCCAGTGAAGTCACTTGCCTTCCGAGTCTAGTTATCTCATCAGAAAAATGGGACAATACCCTGTGACCTCTCAAGGTCAGTATTTGTGAATGTACAGACATCTTCAGAGAATATCAACAGTTATGTCTCCCAACTCCAAACTGGATTTATGATCCATCTAATCACTTGGGGGCGGGGGGAGAGGGAAGGGTTACCTTGAGAGGCAGCAACTTCCAGGGATGGATGCACACACACACACACACACACACACACACACACACACACACACACACACACACACACACACACACACACACACCCCTTCTGCTCTCTGTTCTCTCAGGCTGAGACCATTGGGCCCTGCTTCAACCAAGCACATTCATTCCCGGGCGGTAGATACAAGCCCAGTCCTGCCCAGGAAGTGCAACTGCATAGAAGGCTCGGGTGTGTGGGAGCCAGAAAATGTAGCCACGGGCTCAGGAGGGTGCATGGCAGCATGAGTGCCCACAGGCACTAAGCCTGGCTGGCAGAATTCCACCTCCTGGCCACACCAGGTGCAGAAGATGCAGTGCTGGGAGAAGCCAGCGCCCTAGGGCTCTCTACCACTCACCCTTCCAATGTGCCCATACCTCTGGCCCCAGCCTCCTGTCTACCCAATCTGGTGCCACTTGGCACCCCAAACTTCATGCCAGTCTGGGTTAAGGCTGGCAGGGAAGTCCACATTCCTGGACGCTGAGACAGTACTGCTCAGTCAGTTGCAAGGGCAAGGGGCATCCCAGGCCACATGGGCACTTCGGGCAGACCTCCTTACTGAGACGCTCAGGGGGCCCTGGGCCTGGCTGTGAGAGGAGGGTGGGGAGAGGATGAGCAAGGCTGAGAAGGCTTCGCAGAAAACTATACACAACAAAGCCACCCACCTCTCTGACACACCCACAGCCCTCCCAGGCAGGCAGTACCAACAGTTGGAAGGCTGATGGGTAGGAGAGGGCAAACCTTCCCTGCCAAGCCACCAATCAAGAGAAGCTGATCCCATAGTAATCATAACTGCAAGAATAATAGCCAACCATGCCATCCACCTAATTACAACCACCGCTGCTTCAGAAAAAGCCAGGTGCCCTCCCCCTCTCCTCTCAGCCATTTAACAAGCCAATTAATGATGAGTTGGAAGGGTCTAGACAGACCCATTCAACCCCAGGTTGATGTAGGGGGTGAGGGGCAGCGGCTGGGAGGAGGTGAGGAGTCTGGGTAGCTTCCATCCCAGTGGGGCCAGGCTCACCCCAGGAGGCTGTGGGATCTAAGGACCCCCACACCCTCGCCCCAAGAAGGCTGAGGTCCACGCTGTGCCCCTCCCCCGTGCGGGGGGTGTGGCCGCCCCCCGCTCTGAGCTATAAATAGCGATGCCAGCAGCGGGGCAGGGAGCTGTATTAATAGAGCAGCGGGCACAGGGCGGCAGGCCGGACAGCAGCAGCCCAGCTCCTGCCCAAATTAACTTTCTATTTCTACTCAGGGGCCCCAGGCATTGCCCCAGCGCTGGCACCTGCTGACCCCCGGGCCTGGCATGTGTGGGGGAAGAAGGGAGAAGAAGCCCCCTCTCTGCCCTCCAGAACCCCAGGACACAGACGGCCAAAGTCATGGTGCGGGTCCCCAGGCCCAGAGCAGCTGGGGCCGGGCTGTGTGCAGGTGGGCGGGGAGCCGCCGAGGGCCCCGAGGACAGAGACCCTGGGTCTCTGGGACACGGGGGGGGGGGGGGCGCACCTCACACAAGCCCCCGCCCAGAGCCGCCCGGCCCCGCTGGCCCCAGCGAGGCTGGGAGAGGGGAGCACGGGAGGAAGAGCCGACCCGTCCCCGCCGGAGACCCCGCGGGGGTGCCCTCACCCTAACCCCGGGGGGAGGCGGGTCCCCGGAGCGGACAGGCGGGCGGTGGGTGAGCCCAGGGCGGCCCCGAGCCCGCCCCGCCCCGAGGGCCGAGGACCCCCGCCCCCGTCCCCACCCGCACCCCGCCCCGGCTTCGCGCCCGGCCGGGCTGGGGACTCACCGCGGCACGCGGGCCTCCGGATCGCGCGCCCCCGTCAGGCGGCCCCCCCGCCCCCGGCAGGTCCCCGCAGGTCCCCGGCCCGCCCGGGGGCCTTGGACGGGGCGGGCCGACCTCCGGCTCCGGGGCTCGGAGCGAGCAGCCTGGCAGCCAGCAGCCGCCAATGCCCGGGGAGGGGCGGGCCGGGCACCGGCGGCGGGGGAAGGGAGCCCGGGAGGGAGGGACAAAGGCGAGGAGGAGGAGGAGGGGAAGAGGAAGTGATGGAGTCGGGGAGGGCGAGCGGGCCGGGGCGGGCCGGGGGCGGGGCGGCGGGACCCGAGCCCGCCGGCGCGGGGTGGCCAGGCGGCGGGGACCGCGGCTCCCGGGGAGGGGCGCGCGCGGCCAGGGCGCAGGCCGGAGCGGGGAGGCCCGCCCGGGGCCCCTCCAGGCTGGCTGAAGCCTGAGGTCCGCGGACCACCGTCACCCTGGCCCGGTCACCCTGTGCCCTCCGGCCACAGCCCGAGGAGCTCGGCCTCGGGGACCGCCCGGGCCTGTCCGCGGCTCCCTGTCTGAGATCTCGGTGAGAGGACGCGCAGGGAGCCCCCCCCCCCGCCCACCCCTGGCCTCAGCCTGCCCCGTGACAAGGTCAGCCTGGGCTGGGAGCTCAGGCCGAGGCCATGCTGTGTCCATGCAGCGGCTCTGAGCGCCCCCTCCATCCTAACTACATCCCCGCCCACTGCCCCAAGATGGACACCGCCTCCCCCCAGCCTCAACCTCCAGCCGTGCCTGCCCCACCAAAGGCCCCTTGCCAGAAGATACCCTTCCAGATGGGTGCTACCGGCCCCAGCTCCCCCACAGTCAGGCTGAGATTCTAATCCAACCCCCAGAGCTGGGGTCCCAGGGACCAGGGTCTGGGCACCAGAGCCTCACAAGACACCATGTCCTCCCTCAGACACAAGGCGTGCTCAGCCTGCGCCACACAAACACCATTACACACGCTCTGTCTCTCACATTACTGTCACATGCACGGGCTGCAGCCTCCTCTCCTCATTACACTCACCCAGGCACACACGGCCTTTCCACTCAGCCCCCAGGAGAGACGGAAAAAGTCAGCCTCCTCGCTGGAGGCTGGTGACTCACACTTGTAATCCTCGCCACTCAGGAGGCTGAGATCTGAGCATCTCAGTTTGAATCCAGCCCAGGCAGAAAAATTCATGAGACTTTACCTCCAATGAACCACCAAAAAGCTAGAAATGGAGCTTGGTTCAAGTGGTAGAACCAACAACTTTAAGTGAAAAACACAAAGGAGAGTATGAAGGAGGCCCTGAGTTCAAGCCCCAGGACAAAAAAAAAAATTTTTTTAATGAATTAAAAGGCAGCCTCTGAAGAGAAATAAAGAGAGAAATTTTCCAACAGTGCCCTACCCGTTGCCTTACTGTATATACATTCACCCCATCGCACACAGGCAAGAAACTTACTCCCCTGCTAAAGGAAAACGGAAGAACCAAATAAGGCCAAATGTAACATGGGAGGCTTTAAAAATCAAAACAGTCCTCAGGAAGAGTGATTCATTAGTTTGGACCCTGTGGTGGCCAGCTGGGCAGACCCAGACAGAGAGAGAGACTGAAAGGACGAGAGACAGGGCTACCAGTACACATACCAGGAAGTGGGGATGAGGGAGCCTTCATTCCCGCACTACTTCCTTTGAGCTTTTATCCATCAAGATCTTTGCCACAACAGAACGCTTGCAGGCTTCCCTCCCAATGTACAGAAGGGATAACTGATAACTGGCTGGGAGAAGAAACCTGATGTCCTGTATCCCAGACAGAGGCCACTGCACCATCCCCTGCCAACACTTTACCCAGCCCACACCCAGGCCCTGCCCACCAGGGAGGGGCTTTGGAAGTAATGGCACTTAGCAAGAGCTGGCAGCACATGGTGGGGGTGGATGGGGACCGACTGTCTAGACGGCCTGGTCCCTGAGCTGTGTGGCTTTCGAGGACCTCCTCCACTTAACTTCCCTCCCAGATCTTTCATGTGGTTTGGCGCTGTGGTCCAGGGTGGGGCAGCTTAGACCCCAGATTGAGACACCACCCCGTTTTTGGGGGTCATATTCCCAGCTCCCCACTTGGCTCTGTAGAGAAGAGGGTAACAAGGGATGTGCCAGGAAGCCCTGGTACAGGGGTGGATCGAGGTCGCCCACACTCTCCGCTCCCATGTTCATAGCTCCAGGCTAAAGGATGGCATCTGCTTTCTGCCAGCCTTCCCCCCTCCCTGGCACGGGCATTTTTCTGCGAGAAGAGCCTGTCACTGCCATCTCTGCTTGTCATGAAGTGTGTCTCTCCAAGTTGCCAACAGCTGGGCACAGTGCCCAGAATGATGCTTCTGGGCCAGCCGGAGCAGGCTCCTGTAATTCCCCAGATATCCCTCTTTATTTTTGATTATTTTTACAAAGAAGAGGGTCCCCTCCATAAGGGCAGATAAGAGGGTCCCCTCCTGTGCTGGGGATCAAATCCAGGGCCTTATGCACACCTGGCAAGCAGCACCCTACCACTGCATTACACTCCCAGCCCTAAGCGGTCCTTTTGTACACATGCCCACAGGTAGGCACATAGCCAGTGAGCTCTTGTATACACACCGCAGTGCACACAGAGACATTCTGGTGCCATCAGGCCTGGGGTTACCACCAGCAGCCATTCGAACATGCTGATCCATAAACATCAGACACAAATAAGCAGAGAGATACACAAGTCCCAAGTCACGGAAACATCCGGAGATACATAAACACACTCCAGTTACACAGGCGCACAGAGATAGCACACGCACCCCCGAGCCACCCAGTTTCCAAGGCAACGCACTCCCAAGAATGTCCGGAGTGAGGCCAGGCAGGGCCGGGCTCGGTGCCTTGCTCCAGAGATGAGACAAGGAAACCCTCAGCTCCTGGAGCCCAGGAGGGGGAGGGCTGGGGAGGAGAACACCCATTCCTTTGTGCCTCCGCCTACCCCTCCACAGGCTGCCAAGCTTTGGAGACAGGCGAGCCCAGACAAGAAGGCTGGGGTAGGGTGGGGGGCAAAGGGAGTTTAGGGTCAGAAGAGAGTGGGAGGGTCCGTACTTGGCAGGGTGGGCTTCTGGCTGGGGAAGAAGGGAGCTACTGAGGCCACAGGAAATACTTAAGAATTTCATGGTGGCCTCAGGCCCGCCCTCTCGCAGGGAGCTAAATGATGGGAAGATGGGACAAGAGAGATATAAATGTCACAGGCTTCTGCACAACACACGCATACTCGTACCCACGGAATCCGGGAAGTAAAGGCCCAACCACCCCTGAACTTTGCCTGGCCCCTTTTCTTTGTTGCTCTGTGTCCCACCGGTGTGCACCCAAACCCGGCAGTATACACTTGCTCTGAGACCGTCAGGACGCACATGGCATCACAGCCAAAGCCCCTACCAGAGACCCTGAAGCCTCAGAGCTTTTCTGCTACTGTCCACTGACCTGCCTCTGAGGAGGTGGTTATCTACTCTCATCTCTACCCTAAGGTCAGGAGGAAATCAGGAGGCCTGGTTAGTTCCCAGGCCAGCTGTGAAGTAAATGGTATGTAAAGACTCTAAGGGACAAGCACTGGTGGCTCACATCTGCAATCTTAGCTACTCTGAGGATCATGGTTCTAAGCCAGCCTGGGGAGGAAAAGTCTGTGAGAATCTTATCTCTACTAAACTACCAAGAAAGCCAGAAGTAGAGCTGTGGCTCAAAGGTAGAGCATTAAGTGCCTAGGCCCTGAGTTCAAACCCTGGGTCTGACACCAAAAAAATAAGGGATGTGACAAGGATATGGGAGACAATGGAGTGGGTGGTGTTTACTGTGCATGAGGACTTACACTTACACACACACACACACAGATGTTCAGCCAGTGAGCATCCAGAAAACAATGGCACCTTTAGCCTTCATGCTCAGAGTCAGGTACGGCCCCAAGCTCCTGTCACCACAGCAACTAGACCTCCAGCCCCATCATTCGGCTCTTCCCATCCCCTAACGGGACCATCCATTCACTGTATGAATTGATGCCGTGCCCTGTTTCCAGGGGAACACACCTGGCCAGTCAAAGTGCCACCTGACCTATCGTTTATCTGCCTGGTAACCATAGTAATTAGGGGCTTTTTCTTCATGACAGAATGGCCTGGTGCTTTAGGAAACAGAATGGCGGCCATATTCATGACCCAAAAGCTACTGTCTACAGTTCTGCAGCAGAAGCAACCTGTCCTCCAATCTTGCCACCACACTCGGCCCATGTCCATCCCCACAGGCCGGCCATCAACCTCTACAGTGACTGCAAACACCTCCCTTTGGGCATCTTGGAACACCACGGATGCCCGCTAGCTATGGTTTTCCCGGCTCTTTCCCTGGAATGGCCACACCACACCCAGGTCCTCTGCCAGCAGGGATTGGACTGACTTCTTCCCCTGAGATGTGGGGAGGCAGGGTGAGGATCACAGAGACAAGAAACACAGATGGAAGACAAGTTGGGAGCGGGAGATTTTTGAGATGAGCTTATATCCAGAAGCACCTGAGTGTGGCCACTCAGAGAGTTACCATGGCAACCACCACGATAGGCTTCCCCCTACCCAACATGCACAGGCTTTGAAACAGCGATTCCCCCCTTCTCAGTGGGGAGGGGAGCGGAGGAGTACAGAACCTTACCCTGAGTGAGCCGGGTAGGCTGCCGGACAGGAAGCCCATCAATCGTGCACACATTGCCACAAGGGTAGAGGGTGAGGGTCCCCCGCACGTTCTCGATGTAACAGTGCTCTGGAGCCAGGCCTGGGCCCTGCAGCGAGATATCCCGGGCTGCAGAGCCAATCACTGTCCGCCCTAGAGCAAGAGGCAAAGGAGTCAGACGGGCCCTCCAGGCCGAGAAGACAACTAAAATGAGGTGGAAATCAATGTCCACCTCTCACTCCGGGGTAATCTCTGTCCACCACAGGCCACCTCTCTTGGGCTCCTGAGCCTGGAGGGAACTGTGACCGAAGCTCTTCTCAAGTAGACAAAACTGCCCCAGAATGGGAGGGTCAGGAGACAGGCCACAGGAAGCAGAGGCATGATGGGAAAGAGGGAGGACCTTTTTTCCTCAGCCCTACATGGGTCTCCTAGCTACCTTTCCTTGTTTTGTTTTGTTTTTGTTTTGCCAATCCTAGGGCTTGAACTCAGGGCCTGGATGTGCTGTCCCTGAGCTTCTTTTATTCAAGGCAAGCACTCTACCACTTGAGCCACAGGGCCATCTCCGGCTTTTTCTGTGTATGTGGTACCGAGGACTCGAACCCAGGGCTTCACGCAAACACTCTACCACTAAGCCACATTCCCAGTCCCCTTGGGCTCTTTATCCCCTCTGTGGATACCCCCCCCTCTTCTCTTCTAAATCAATCTCTCCTCCTTTTCCTTTCTGCCACTGGGGATCCATCCCTCCCCTTTCTTACGCCCTCTCCCTCTACTGTGGTTTCTCCCCTCCATGGCTCCCTGGCAGAGCCCCCTGGGACTGGTATTTGGAGAATGTGGGGAATGTAGCATCACCCAGGCAACAGGTGCAGCCAGGACCGGAGGGGGAGGGCAGAGCCATGCCAGGGTCTCCTCTTGGGGGATCATGCCCCCCCCGCCCCCCCCCCCCCCGTGGCCAGTCCAGTCACCCATGCCACCTGTCGCCCTCCAGTGGAGCCCCTCTCTTCTTGGCCACACAGGTTGCCAAGAGCAATGTGCTCTCCTGTTCGTCTCAGCACTCCCCTCCTGGTTTCTAAACTGATCTTTAATCCCAATCATGGAGCCAGATTAAATGCTAGAGGAGACAGGCAGCCAGGCAGGCAGAGACAATGCAAGCATTACTGCAGGAGGGCCCCATACTGCAGAGGCCTGGTCTTGGGGGACTAGAATGGGGGGGGGGTGGCATGCATGTCCCCACTCACCTTCCTCCAGCGGCAGGAGAGTGATGGCCGTGCTGAGTCTTCCACTGCCCAAGCTCACCAGATGGGGCTTGTCGGTCTGCACTTTCAGCCCTTTGCCTGTCTCAATCAGGTCCAAGGGTCCTTTCTGCAGGTAGCAGGGGTGGTGGAGGGAGGGGATGAGCATCATTAGAGACTGAGCCAGCACCCTACCAACCTAGGCCCAGTCACATCAGCCCTCTCTCAGCCCTTGTTCCTCTCCAAAGGGTGCTGAGGTGGCTGAAAGGCTTAGCACAAAAAAATCTTAGCCAGAGCATTATTCCACTAAATTGTAATTAGATCTGAATCTAGGCCACTAACTCATCCTGCTGGATTTATTTCAAGATTTGGCTCAACTGACCCTTTTTGTCTAGCAAAACAGAAACAAGGAGAGAGAGAGAGAGGGGTGGTAGAAGCATGGGGCAAAGAGGAGGGGTACCATAGAGGAGGGGTAGCATAGAGGAGGGCCAGTCTGGCTCCTTGCTGGGACTCTACCCATGTGACTGCAGCCTGGCCCTGATAAACTAACTGTAAGAGTGGTAGGAGGTAGGTATCAGGGGCTCATGCCTGCAACCCTAGCTACTCAGAGGCTGAGATCTGAGGATCATGGTTTGAAGCTAGCCCTAGCAGGAAAGTTCGTGAGACTTTTCTTTTCTTTTCTTTTTTTGTCGGCCGTGGGGCTTGAACTCTGGGCTTGAGCGCTGTCCCTGAGCTCTTCAGCTCAAGGCGAGTGCTCTACTTCTTGAGCCACAGCGCCACTTCCGGTTTTCTAGTGGTTTTTAATGGCAATAAGAGTCTCATGGACTTTCCTGCCCGGGCTGGCTTTGAACCACGATTCTCAGATCTCAGCGTCCTGAGTAGCTAGGATTATAGGCCTGAGCCACGGGCGCCCTGCTGAGACTTTTCTCTCCAATTAATCACCAAAAGAGCAGAAAGTGGCTCATATGGTAGAGCACTAGCCTTGAGCATAAAAGCTCAGGGACTGAGTTCAAGCCAGGAACGGCACACAAAAATAAAATAAAAACTAGAAGTGGAATTATGGATCCAGGAGAGTGATGCTGGCCTGGACCGTCTGTAAACCACTTTCGGACTTTCAAAGGAGAGTTTCTGGCTGAGTCAATTAGCTTGATTCAAATTAAGACTCATCTATTCATAGGCTGGGGACTAGGGAAGGGCAGAGGGGCTGGCTGCTGCCCCATCCTTGAGCTGGCACCACAGATAGAACTGAATCCCTCCTCACCAACACCTTACCCCATGGCCCCAACACCACACACCTGCACCACAGCCTGGGGCTTGCATCCGGGGCTTCCCTGGCTTCTGCTGCGTGTGTCCATGGTCCTAGGCCTCCAGAGTTCCTGGGGACACAACGTAAAGCAGCTGAGGTGGGGGAAGCAGGTAGAAGAGGAGCAGTGCTGGGACTCAGGACATGGGCAGCACCAGCCGCTACCATTCCCCAGCATGCTCGTGCCAAAGGAAAAGTAGAGGCAGCTTGGGAGCTTGGATGGGGGAGGGGGGCCACCCCATCTCTTGCCACAGCATGGCAATCACACCATACCAGCCTGGCACTTGCCAGGTAGGGTTGTACACACAGCCCTACCCTGGCTTTGGTGTTTTTCTGCTCTTTGCTATCCAGAGCCCAGAGTTTAGTTGAAGACCCTCCTCAGCCATCTTGATGGAGTCTTAATCAGGATGAGGGAAATCAATTTTCATGGCGAGAACAAACTCCAGGCAAGTCCCTCCAAGAACATGGGTAGAGACAACTCCCCCAGGATTTAGCCAGGGCTAAATAGGAGCTTCCTCTCCCAATCTGTCTTCTCTTTTCCCTTTGTCTCTTTTCCCAGGGGCCTTAGGATGATGCCTTCTTAAAGGAGACACGGAGGAAAAACCAGGCCTTCTCTGAGTAGCTCAACTCCTACACTTTTTCTTCCCCCAGGAAGCAACCCCAACCCAATCAACAAAACAGTCTGGTGCTGGTGGCTTAGGCTTCTAATCCTAGCTACTCAGGAGGATGAGATATAAGGATCATGGTTCAAAGCCAGCCTGGGCAGGAAAGTCTGTGAGACTCTTATTTCCGATTAACTACCAGAAAACCAGAAATAAAGCTGTGGCTCAGGTGGTAGAGTTTTGAGTAAAAGACCTAGGGACAGTGCCCAGGCCTGAATTCAAGCCCATGACCAACAATAAAAACAAACAACAACAACTTAAAAAAAAAAAAAAACAAACCAGGAGCTGGGAAGGTGGCTCAGTGGTAGAGCGCTTGCCTTGCATGCATGAGGCCCTGGGTTCGATTCCTCAGCACCACATAAGCAAAAAGAAAAAAGCCAGAAGTGGCGCTGTGGCTCAAGTGGTAGAGCGCTAGCCTTGAGCTGAAGAGCTGAGGGACAGCGCCCAGGCCCAGAGTTCAGGCCCCATGACCGGACCCAAAAAAAAAAAAAAAAAAAGCAAAACAATCTCAGTGATGACTCTTAGGAACACAAGATTCTTGAGCTCTCCCCTGGCCTGGTGCTGGAGGAAGCTTAGTCCCTACAGCCAGGAGTAAGATGGATCCCAGCATCACAACCTGATCCTCCCTCCCACCCATCCACCTACCACTCTAATTCATTCCTCTTTCCTAGGCTCAGATTTTTTTTTTTTTTTTGAGCCTGAGAAATGTAAGGAACGAACTTTGTGCACTCATGTGTGCACACTCGCCTCTCCCTGGCCTTGGTTGGAGGTGAGAAACTCCCCACTGCCTGCTGGAATGCTATGGGAGTTGCTGAGGGCTGAGGTAAATCCAGGCAGGCAGGCTTCCCTCCACTTTCTCTTCCAGCTGTCTGTCAAGTGACTGGCAGAGGAAGTTGTGGCAGGAACCAGCATTCCAAGGAGCGTCTGCCCCCGGCAGTGGATCCCAAGGGCCTGAGCCCTAGAGTTACTAAATTTACCCTCCCTACTTCCACCCTTCCGGGCCTGGACTGACTGCATCATCTCCGTCACCATTTCCACCCAAGCTGGAGGAAGAGAAGCCGGAATAGTGCTTGGGACCCACCCTAAGACTGCCTGGGAAGAGAAAAGGCAAAGGCTATTAACCCATACCAAACCCCGAGCTGGCCTGGCACTGCCCCAAGAACCCTGTCTAGAGAGAAGAAATTCCAGGGAGAACAGGTGCCTGTGGCTCACGCCTGTAATCCTAGCTACTCAGGAGGCTGACATCTGAGGATCAAAGTTCGAAGCCAACTTAAGCAAGAAAATCCATGAGCCTCTTCCCTTTAATGAACCAGAAAAAAAGCTGGAAATGGAGCAGTGGCTCAAGTAGCCTTGCGCACAAATGCTCAGGACAGTGCCCAGCCCCCTGTTCCCCCTCCCTCCCAAAAAAGGACAGGCATGTGCGCACACGCACACGCACACGCACACACACACACACACACACATCTCCAGGGAGAGTTGTACTGTTTCCTTAAGATTCAGGGAAAGCCCTCAGCCTTTTTCTAAAGGAGAAGAGACAAGAGAGTGGGCTGGGATTGGGAAGTTTATGTAAAAAGAGAGGGAAAGAAAAAAATCATAATAGTGGGGAAGGAAAGACAGCTTCCATTAGTAGAAAATGTTTGGGATGTGGGAGCGTTAAATTCTATTCATTAGCTGCAATTATTATTTATTAGCTGTAATATTTTGGGCAAGTTATTTAATTTCTCTCATTGTCAAGTCTATCTCCTATAAAACTATAATAATAACAATAATCATTTAATTGGCTGACTCAGTATTTGCCCGAGCCAGGAGTGGAACAAGGGCAACTCTAGGCATGAGATTTCTTTGGGGGGAATGTGTGTGGCAGAAATATTCTAGAATTAAATTGTGATGATGGTTGCACAGCTCTGCATCATTGCACACTTAAAGTAAGTGGATTTGATGGTCTATAAGTTATACCTCTGCAAGCTGTTAGTCATGGAAGGATTCAGGGAGTATACCTATCGTCTCTCTAAGGAGTGCAAAGCACTATTAAGATGCTGGGTGACGTCTGTCTGGGGCTGGGTTTCTTCATTGTCACGCTGGATTTTGGTCACTTTCGATGAGGTTGAGGGCACAGCACAGGGGTGATGGAGGAGAGGACGGAGGAGAACCCCGAGGTTGAAGGAGAGGGAGCGATAAGGAGAGAGGTGTGGGGAGCAGAGAAGAGGAGGTGTTCGACTGGGAGGTGTGAGTCTGCGCCCCGGCTCCGAAACCTAATCCACCGTAAAGCAAGAGGACACCAGGCCTGTCGCTGGCCCGTTGCTCGGACCGGGGCGCTGCCCCGCGGTGCACCCCCTCCCCCCAACCCTGCTAGCGGGTCCGCTCGTCCCACCTCCCTCCCGGGGCTGCAATTACCCCGCCCGCCCGGGCCTCCGCGGCCCGCCCCACGGCCAAAAAAAGGCCGCTGCGGTGCCCGCCCGCAGGGCCGGGCGCTCCCGAGCCCTGGGGGCCCCTGGGGTAGGGGAGGTGTGGGGGGGTCCCGCGAGGCCGGGCCCCCGCAGCGCACCCCCCAGTTCCGCGGACCCCCTGTCCCCAGCGCCTTGGCCGAGGGGGGCGTCCGGGGCTCCCGCAGGCCCCCAAAGCGGTCCCCGGCCCCCAGCCCGCCCCGCGGGGGAAAGATCCCAACGCAGCCCCCGGGGGAAAGGCCCGATCGCCCCGCGCGGCGCCCGGCCCGGTCCTCCTCCCAGCCCTCACCTGGGACCCGGGGGGCCCGCCGAGGCCTCGCCCCGGGCGTCGCATGTCGGCGTCGGGGGACCCGCAGGGCCGAGCTGGGCTCCTCTGCGCCCACGGCGGCCCCGCTCTCCCTGCGCACATCCGCCCTCCAGGAAGGGCCGGAGGAAGGAGTCGGCACGGGAAGGAAACTGAGGCCGGGAGCCCAGCGGGCCCGACGCCCGGGCGGGGCGGGGCCGGGGTGTCCGGGAGCCCCGGACACTTCAGGAGAAAAGCGAGGCGGAGGGCAAAGGGGGCCTGAGAGGGAGGGAAGGGGGGGTCCCGGGAGGAGAGGGCGGCGGGAGGCTGCCGGGGAGGCTGGAGATGAGGACCCGAGAGGGGCGAGCGCGAGGGGAGACTGAGGACCGGGTCCTCGAGTGGAGAGGGCGGCAGGCAGAATCCGATCCGAGGGGCCGAGGCCGCGGCCCACCCTCTCCCCCACAAGAGGGGGAGAGAGGCGAGGTGGGCGGCCGGGGCCGGGGGCCTGAGCGGAGGAGGCGGGGGGCTCTCGGGGAAAGGCTCCGGGAGGTGCCGGCCCCGTGGGGGTTCCGCGCGCGGGGGCCCCCGCCTGCCCCTCCCGGCCGCCGGGCAGGACAAGGCCGCAGTGTTGGGCCGCCCTGACCGCGGGACAAGCGGCCTTTCTTCGGCGGGGCCGGGAGAAGGAGCCGCTTGTTTGCGCGGCGGCCGGGGAAGGGGCGGCCCCGCGCCCCACCCGGCAGCTGCCGGAAGCGCGTGCGTGCGAGCGGGCTGCGGTGCGGGACTAAGGGCACGCGCGGAGCTGCAGGTGCCACCGAGGGCCGCGCGCGCGCGTGGGGCGGCGTGCGGGCACGCGGGGCGGGCTCCTCGCGTGGTCCAGGCGTGGGTGTCGGGTGTGACGCCGGGGTGTGCGGCGTGCGATGCGGAGCGAGCGGCGTCGAGCCTTGCCCGACGAGGCGGGAGCCCCCGCGTGTTTGCTGGCGGTGGGGTGAGCCTGCCCGGCCGTCGGATGAGTCAGCCCGGGAGCCTCCGGACCGCTGAGCTAACGGGCCTAGAATGCAGCCCCGCCCCGCCGCCGGGGTCCCCCGCCGGAGCGGCCTGGGGGCGGAAGCGTCCTGGACGCCGGCCGCGGCCGCCCGCGCCCCGCGGCGCCGCCCCGCCGCCCGCCCGCCCGCGCTTCCCCCTCGCGGGGATCCCGGCTGGGGAACTCCGCGGAGCCTTCGAATCCAGACGGCGGAGGCGGGGCGAGCCCTCCCTCCCGCTCGCTCCTCCGCGGTGCCCCCGGTCGCCTCCCGCACCCTGAGGGCGTGGGGTCTTGAAGGAGTGCGGGGGGGGCGGTGCGCCCCAGATGCCCCCATCCCTCCCGGGCTCCCTGCGAGCCGGATTCTGCTTCTCGTCCTGGGACACGAGCGCCCCCGACCTCCGGCCCCGGCGCCGCTGCTGGAGGAGCGAGGCAGGGGCCGGGGGACCAGGACGCGCGCGGGCCCCCGCGAGGGTCCCTCTGGCCGTCGGGTGGACGCAGGGCTGCGCATCCCGCAGGACTCCGGTCCTTCCCGGGGGTGGGGGGCCCGCGCGGGGGTCACCAGAGCCCCCTCTGGCGGCGGTGCGGGCAGCGCCTGGGCCGGGGCAACAGCCAGCCGCTCCCAGGATGGGGCGGGGGGAACAGACGCCCCCCGAAGCCCCTGCGGCCCGCACCTGAGTGGCCGCTCCTCCCCGCGAGTCTCCTCCCCGCGTCCTGGCCCACAGCCGGAGCCTCCCCCCCCCACCCCCCCGGCGCGGTCTGGAGCCCGGGGGCCCGCGGGGCGGCCGGGGAAAGGGCCGCGCTTACCTGGCTGGCCGGCGGGGACGCAGGTCCCTGGGAGCGGCGGGGCCGCGCGGCCTCAGGCTCGGGAGGACACCGCGCTCTCCCCCGGCGCCCGCGGAGAGGAGGAGGAGGCGGACAGCCCGGCCTGTCCCGCCCCCCTCCCACGAGTCCCCGCCCCACCGCGGCCGGCCGGGCCAGGGAAGACGCCCTCGCGGGGGCCGGAGCCCGAGGTCCCCCACCCGCCCTTTCCCACAGCCGTGCCCCCCCACCGCCTGCACAGCGCCCGCTTTGTTCAGCTCTGCATCTGGGCTCTCCGCGGCCACGCCGCGCGCCCTGCCCTGCCCTGCCCTGCCCCGTCCTCCTCACTCCTCCGCCGCGGGGCTGCGCCGGCCCACCCGGGCCCCTCCGGCCCACCGCGGCCCCACCGGCCCACCGCTGCCCACCCCGGCCCACCCCAGCCCACCGCGGCCCCACCGGCCCACCGCGGCCCACCCTACCCACCCCGGCCCACCCCGGCCCACCGCGGCCCCACCGGCCCACCGCGGCCCATCCCGGCCCACCCCAGCCCACCGCGGCCCCACCGGCCCACCGCGGCCCCAGCGGCCCATCCCGGCCCACCCCAGCCCACCGCGGTCCACCCCGGCCCACCGCGGCCCCAGCGGCCCACCGCGGCCCACCCCGGCCCACCGCGGCCCACCGCGGCCCCACCGCGGTCCACCCCAGCCCACCGCGGTCCACCCCAGCCCACCGCGGCCCCAGCGGCCCACCGCTGCCCATCCCGGCCCACCCTGACAACCGGGGCCCATCCCGGCCCACCGCGGCCTGGCGCCATCCAATCCCCGGATGGGTTGTGCCTTCTGCCATCCCTCCTCTGCCTAGATTCTATTCGAAGCCCCGCCATGAGGAGCCGTAAGCGGGGTCCGAACTCCCAACCCCAGCGGGCTTCGGAGACCCCCCCCCCCCCAAGGCCAGGTACAGGAGGCACGCGAAAGTGCGTGCACAGGACAGCAGGGAAAGGCCGACGGCGGCCCGGACTCCACTGGGAGCCTCCTCCAGGCAGGCCAGATGCCAGATGCGGGCCAGCCTGCGGGTGGAAGTTACCAAAAACACCTCGCAGCCATCTAACCCCGCACCGGAAATCCAGTGCCGACAGTGGATCTTTACCTTGCAAAGCCAGCTCTTGCTCCCGGGAGACCGGCTAGGAGCCCCAGGGAGCCGAACTCACGGAGAGGAACCTCTTTAACCTACACGAGAGGGACACAGCAGAGCCGGCCTCACTGAAGGAGAAAGCAGAAAGCTCTGAAGTTTGGCTTAAATTCCACCTGGGGTGGGTAGAAAACAATTTATCTTCTTTGGGGCAGGCAAATCCAGTTCTGATCCATTGGTTTGCGCCTTCTCTTCCTAACCCAGGAACAGCAGGAGGCTGAACTGTAGGAATCTAGTCACTCATTGACAGGGCCAGCACTGGCAGAGCCCCCCACTCCCCCACCCTCCCCATCCCCCCCCAGCCGATGACTGAGCTGATGGGGAGGAGGCAGGGGGGTGCTCTGTGCTGTTACCCCCTTCAGCTAATGGAGGTGGGACAATTAGGCTCCAGTGTATGCAGTGGGTACAAGAAAGCTCTAGGGCTGGGACGGGATACAAAGGGGGGGGGGGCTGCTGCTGCTGCTGCTGCTGGTGGTGATCTTCTTCCTCTCTTCTATTTGAGGCTCATGAAAGTATTTTAACTTCTGGTCAACCTTCACGAGGCAGATCACAACAGTAATTTTCAGGCTATTCTGGTGTGCTAAAGGGGGAAAAAAAAAAAAAACTCTTGGTGTTGCATATGCCAAGACCTAGCATTTGAAAACAGGGGCTCAGATTGGGGTTCTACAGACTTTTCAAGTCCCTCTGTCTCACAATCCCCCCGCCTCCCCCCCCCACTTCTTCTTTGATGACTTGGTCAGGAGGAATGTCAGGCAATAATCAAGCCTGCCATGGAGGCCAACCATGCTAGCAGGGGGTTGAAATAGCACCTCACTTCTCACTGTTCTCCCAACCCGGAGACTGGCTGACCCATGATCAAGACTCTCTGCAGTGTGTGCCCTTGCCTTCTGTGTCACGCCTTTATGTTCCCACAGTTAGTGCACTCAAGGGACTGAAGACCTACTGCCCCCACCCCTCCACCCTCATCCCTCTCCACATCTGGAGCCCATCAAAAAAAAAAACCCTCAGTGCTCTCTTACAGTTACGCAAGAGGTCGACACAGCTGGGAGCTCAGGAAAGGGGGAGGAAGGGAGAAGAAAGCAGAAAACAGCTTTCTAAGCCTGCTTCAGACTTTCCGAAATGGAAGCAGGGGGAGAGGGCAAAGGCTGGGTGTGGAAGGAACAGTGGTTTTCCAAGCCCTGCTTGACTTGGCTATGAATGTCAGGCGTGGATTTCCACACTCCCTCTGCATTTGCCTTGCCACATTTCCCAATTTGTCCCTCAAATTGTTCTCCCTCAGGCCCCAGGAAGAGGTGAATGTTACTTACGTCCTCCCCCAGAAAGCTATCCCTTTCTGACCCCTTTGGTTCCTGAATTCAGGCCTCCTTAGTGTAGGTGTGGCGGCAGTGAAGACGCCAAGAAATTCCTCACTTATCCAACTTGGGAAAAAGCTCTAACTGCCTCAGCAGCCACAGAGAAGCAGCAGCTCTTTTCTCAGCTTGTTAAAAAAAAAAGGCACAATCCACACTTCTATCCAAATCTAACATATCCAAGCTGAGTGGGGAATTTGGGTAGGCTGGAAGACTGGCCTTGTCTACCTCTGTGGCTACACTGCTGAAAAGCACAAGCATTCAGGGCTTAGGGCATCTCTGAGCAGAATGCATAGTGTTGTTTTTCATGAGGCCCTGAAGTCAGTCCCTAGCACCAAATAGCCAAAGGCAAACAAGATCCAGTTCCATTCCCCTCATTGTCTTCTTGTTCTCTTTTTCTCTCTCCAACTGGGACTTGAACTTGGCCTGGGCACTGTCCTTTAGCTTTCATTCAAGGCTGATGTTCTACCACTTGAGCCACAGCTCCACTTCAAGCTTTCTGCTGGTCAATTGAAGATGAGTCTCCCAGACTTTTCTGCCTGGGCTGGCTTCAAACCTGGATTCTCAGATCTTAACCTCTTCAGTAGCTAGAATTACAGGTGCAAGCCAAGGGTGCCCCACGCATTGCTTTGGATTTGTAAGGATTTTTTCCACACAGCTTATGTACTGGTTGTTAATCTACCTGATTAACACCTAGGGAAGCTTTGCAGAATTGGATTAGTACTCTTAGGGGCTAACTAACCATTAGGTTCCAGTCCTGTGAGCAGAAGAGCAAAATACTTTCCCTTTTGCATAGGAGTTTGGAGAAATGGTCCACACTTCTAAAAGCTATTTGTCTTATTTTGTTTGTGTGAGGGAAACAGCCTTGCTGGGAAGATAGTCTAGTTTTTCTAAAGGCTTTTCCTATGTCAATCACAACTCCCTGGAGTAAGAGATGAGACAGAGAGATGCTGTCTCTGTAACCAATAAAAATAACAGTATCCAGCAACCAACCTAAAAGACCTGGGGCTTTAAAGAAACTCTGGAGTTGCAAATATGTTTACTAAAGGGAACAAGAGAAGGAAAGTGATGTAGGGATTTCTGCTAAGACAGATATGCGTAGCCAAGGGCAGTCAATTGAGTTTTGGGGTTTTTTTGGTGCTAGTAATGGAACTTGAACTCAGAGCCAGGACATTCCTCTTGTTTTTTCACTCAAGGCTGGTGCTCTACCCATTGAGCCACACTTCTATTTTTGACCTTTTGGTGGTTAATTGGAGATAAGAATCTCATGGCATTTTCTGTCCAGGCTAGTTTTGAACTGGGATTCTCTGAACTGCTTCTTGAGCTTACAAATACTAGCTGTAGTCAGCCCCTGCTACCTTAGGGAAAAAAAGGATTTTTGGTAAACAGCTACTGCTTCTAGCTACTTCACTATTTGAAGATGAGGACTTCTGTTTTTCACCTATCTCCATCAAATGAGCCCTGCCAGATGGGAACTCTCCCCTGGGGCTTGGGGGCTCTGGGGCTTGAATTTTGGGCCTGGCCATTGTCCCTGAGCTCTTTTTGCTCAAGCCTAGCACTCTACCACTTGAGCCACAGCACCACTTCCAGCTTTTTCGGTATGTGGTACTGAGGAATGGAACCCAGGGCTTCATGCATGTTAGGCAAGCACTCTACCACTAAGCTACATTCCCAGCCCGTCCTTGACCATTTTTGCTCCAGGCCAGCACTCTACTTCAGTGCCACTTCTGGTTTTCTGGTGGTTAATTGGAGGTAAGAGTTTCATGGAAACCTCAATCCTCAGATCTCAGCCTCCTGAGTAGTTAGGATTACGGCGTGAGCCACTGGTGCCTGGCTATAGATCTTTTTTCACGGAGGTCCTGTCCAGTGTGTTCCCTACTCTGTAGGAAATGTTAATTAACTCAGAGCAGGAATCACAAACCCCCTACATTAAACAGAATGCTCGGTCCAATAAATTATTTTGCTATTTTCCCATCAAGAAACTAATAAGAAGTCCACTCCATGCCAAGGAGACTCAGCAGCCAGGCAAGGTATGGGGCATGATTTTGCCACACTCTAGCACCATTAAGTTCAGATACTGTGATTTCATGAAGGAAAAAGAAATTGTGACCGTCACTACTAATTTTATCATCCCATTTATCCAATCAGGGAGAATAATCTGCTTCCCAATTTGTTGACATTCAGCAAATTGCCCAAATAATTGTCTTCTGTAGAATAAACAATTCCCTGAACTCTTCAGCTCAAGGCTTTCAGCAGTGCCACTTCCTGTTTTTAGGTGGTTGGAGGTCAGAGTCTCAAGGGGACTTTTCAGCCCAGACTGGCTTTGAACTTCCTCAGATCTCAGCCTCCTGAGTAGCTAGGATTACAGGCACGAGACACCAGCTACTGGCTTTTTTTTTTGTCGGCCGTGGGGCTTGAACTCAGGGCTTGGGCGCTATCCCTCAGCTCTTCAGCTCAAGGCTCTACTGCTTGAGCCACAGTGCCACTTCAGGTTTTCTAGTGCTTTATTGGAGATAAGAGCCTCACGGACTCTACTGCCCAGGCTGGCTTTGAACCGTGATCCTCAGATCTCAGCTTCCTGAGTAGCTAGGATTACAGTTGTGAGCCACCGGTGCCCGGCTTGCGTTGTCTTCTTTTTGAGACCAGGCCTTAAACCAGAAATCTTCCTACCCTAGCCTTCCTAGTACAGGGATCATGGATTTGAGCCATCATACTTGAGCAAACACATCATCTTTGAAGAATGTTATGGAGTATCATGGAGCCTTCTCCCTTTTAGACTGACTGACAGTAATAAAAACTCGGGACCTGATGTGGTAGCACATACCTGTAATGCCAGTACTCGAGAATTCAAAGCCAGCCCCCAATAAAAATGATGCTTCATTTTTCTTACATTACACTGTTCCTGACAAAACTGACAATCCCTTCAAAAGACATAAGCAGCATCAAACTCAAAACATAGTCAGGAGTATGTGTATGAGTATACTCAAATGTATAAAATGCATGAGGCAGCACGTCATGTATAAAATAGAAAGTGCAATGAATACTGATAGATTATTTTCTCTTAAAAAATACATATCATTATCATTAATCTTTAATTTTAGATCCTATTACAGCATCCTGAACTGGCAAACAGACACCCAAGTGTGAGTCACGAGCCCAGTAAACACCTCATTTTATAATACTCTTTATTTGATTAAAGATTTGCCTTTCTTGTGTACATTGGAATGTTATATTCCCTACATATTTTACAGGGTTACAAAATGTCTCTCATTTTTAAATATTACCCCAAAAGTAATTTCAGAAAAAAAAGTTTTTGTGAAATTAAACTTGACTGTTTAAAAATCATATGGACAAACAACTCTCAAACAAAACTGGATTAAGATTTCTTGTCTACTTAACTACAAGACAAACTTCTTGTCCCAGTCCCCTTCCTCAGAAAACTTCATGTGGAAACCAAGCTAACCATTCTTCCCTGATACGGTTGGTTAGGGGAAAAGGGAAGGCCAGCAATTTCTTTGGCAAGCAATTCCAGCCATGAGTGCTTGTCAGTGCTCTGCTTTACACAGTCTCCTCCACGAGGAGGGCTGGGTGTTCAGAGGAGTGGGGCTAAGGGCGCTGGGTACCTGCCAGTCCTACCTCTTCCCACTGCCAGGATCCCAGCCTCCAGCAACTTGTCACCCGCTAGTGAGTGCAGCTCTGGGCTAAAAACCAAGGCTGGGCTGCCTGTCGAGTCTCTACTGAAGAAATAATGGATGATTTGGAGCTCAGAAACCATTACTACATGAGGATACTCAAAAGGCCTAGAGGGAAGTAAAGGAAGGACTTCAGAGACAGGGACAACCCAGGGAAATGCTGGGTTGGCCAGGAGAAAATGGGATATATGAGTCTTTCCTACATGCCAATATAATCAACTGCTTCTTGAAAGGCCAACACTCTGATGGGGGGATGCAGTCCTGACAGTTCAGGGCCAATGGGTGTTGGCACATGACTCACTGAACCCAGAGTCTCCAAAATCATAACCTGATTTCTGCTAGATGAGAGGATGATGACAGAGAGTAGCCAAGAAGAGCGAGATGATATACTTGAGGAATGTAAACAACCTTACATTTTAGCTCAAGTACCCACACGTGGAGAACTGGAAGCTTGGGTAGCCCTAGCAGCAGACATGATTATGTTTGGATGTGAAATCCCTAACGGGGCATGAGCCATTGTTCTTAGACATCTTCTAGGGCTGGGCATCTGAAAGTGCTTTTTAGCTACCTTAACATTGACACAAGTGGGATTCACAGTACTATTCTAAACTGAAAGGGCAAGCCTTAAAAGCAAAACAACTTGGCAAAGTAATAGATGGGCATGGGAAAAAGACAGCCATCAACCTTATCTCCTAACTTCAAGACTCCACTCCCCCTAAACAGTTCACTTACATTGTCAAAAAAAAAAAAAAAAAAAAAAAAAAAAATCAAGAATGGGTTAGATAATTTTGTTCAGGAGTGCCAAACTCAATACCTAAGAAAAGATGATCCCAGTACTTGATTCAGTGTATAGGAAGAAAAACGGAAGGTAAAGGAGTATGACAGATTAAAATCTACAGAGAAAATCTTTAAAAAATGAAGTATGAAATATAACTATATTTAGGGATTAAAATAAAGGTGCAACTTAGGTGAAGGCAATGGAGGAATTTACTGGGGGTATTATCTGGAGAGCTCGCTTTGCTTTCCTGCTTGCCAGGAAAATCTGTGAAAGAAATCAGCAGCCTTTCCCTTTATGTCTACGTCAGTTCTTTGTCAAAGAATGTCTCTGTGACACTGAAACACTGGGATGGGTTGAGGGTCCCTGCGCGCAAAGAACGTGCATTGTATCAGAAAATAGGGGTCTCCAATGGCTTGTCAACTTGGAAAAACTCTTCAGCCACTGGTGGCTTCTTCTTTATTAATTTGGAATTTTCCCTCTTCCTTTCTCTCGCCTGGGTTTACAGGATCTCGTATTTATCCACTAGGAAAGTGGTCTCTGTGGAGAACCTCACAGGGCTGTTTCCATCTACTTGGGTCACTTTGGTAACCTAGGAAAATAAACACAAAACATGGTTGAGACTTCAAGATGCTGATTTAATTCTCATTGTAAAACAGAAAATTCCCCAAAAACAACAGTAAAAGTTGGTTAGGAATAATGAAGTGTTCAATTCACAGCTGCAGCCCGTGGCATCACTGCTGCCCACCGATATAACTAATGGTTCTTTAGATTGAGGACCACTGCTGCGATGAGATGTGGAAGAATATTTTTTTTGGTGGAGGTGGGGGTTTCCAGGCATGTGATTTGAACTCAGGGCCTGCGCATTGTCCCTGAGCTCTTGTTGCTCAAAGTTAGCACTCTACCACTTTGAACCACAGCTCTACTTTCAGTTTCTGAGTGGCTAACGAGACAAAAGTCTCAGGGGACAGCTGGGAGCCAGTGGCTCACGCCTGTAAATCCTAGCTACTCAGGAGACTGAGACCTGAGGATCATGGTTCAAAGCCAGCCCAGGCAGGAAAGTCTGTGAAACTCATCTCCAATTAATCACCAGAAAAAACTGGAAGTGGCACTGTGGCTCAAGTGGTAGAGTGCTAGCCTTGAACTGCAGAGCTCAGGGACAGCGCCCAGGCCCAGAGTTCAAGCCCCACAACCAACCAAAAAAAAAAAAAAAAGCCTCACAGGGACATTTCTGTCTAGGCTGGGTTCCAATTGTGATCCTCAGATCTCAGACTCCTGAGTAGCTAGGATTACAGGTGTGAGCCATCAATGCCAGGCAGGAAGCTGCAAATTCTTGTGCATTTACTGGGGAGACCAAAACTATCTGGGAAGGTAACAAAGTGCCAAAGTAACAAGCAAGTCAAAAAGAGAACAATATATACTGGGCTCCCTAAATAATACAATTTAAAAAACCAAGAGGTTAACTAAAAATAGTGGTCTAGGTTGTATTGGTAGCTCACACCTGTAATCTCAGCTACGCAGAATGCTGAGATCTTAGGATCTCAGTTCAAAGCCAGCTATGGCAGATAAGTTAAAAAATTCTATCTCCAATGAACCAGCAAAAAACTGAAACTGGAGGCATAGTTCTAGTGGTTGAGCACTAATCTAGCAAGTATGAGGCCCTGAGTTCAAACCCTGATACAAAAAAAAAAAAAAAAGCCGGGCGCTGGTGGCTCACGCCTGTAATCCTAGCTACTCAGGAGGCTGAGATCTGAGGATCGCGGTTCAAAGCCAGCCCGGGCAGGAAAGACCGTGAGACTCCTATTTCCAATAAAACACCAGAAAACCAGAAGTGGCGCTGTAGCTCAAGTGGTAGAGCGCTCGCCTTGAGCTGAAGAGCTGAGGGACAGCGCCCAGGCCCAGAGTTCAAGCCCCACGACCGACAAAAAAAAAAAAAAAAAGTGAGCTAGGAGATGAGGCTGTAACTCATGTAAGATTTGCCTAGCATGCATGAGGTCCTGGATTCAATCCCTGGCACTGTGTGTGTTCTAACAGATGACACATTTTTCTCCTTTCCTTTTTTGTAGTGCTGGTCCTGGGACTTGAGTTCAGTGCCTAGACACTGCCTCTGAGCTTTGGTAAGACTAACACTACACTACTGCTCCACTGCCTGCTTTTTTGGTCTTTAATTGGTAATAAGAGTCTCATAGGGAAGGTAGCTCAGTGGCAGAGTGCTTGCTTTGCATGCATGAGGCCCTGGGTTCCATTCCTCAGCACCACATAAGCAGAAAAGGCTGGAAGTGGTGCTTGGCTCCAGTGGTAGAGCACTAGCCTTGAGCTGAAGAGCTGAGGGACAGTGCCCAGGCCCAGAGTTCAGGCCCCATGACTGGCAAAAAAAAGAGTCTCATAAACTTTGCTGCTTGAGCTGTCTTCAAACTGAAATCCTAGGCTGGGAAGGTGGCTCAGTGGTAGAGCGCTTGCCTTGCATGTATGAGGCCCTGGATTCGATTCCTCAGCACCACATAAGCAAAAAGAAAAAAGCCGCCAGGGTTCGTTTCCCCGACGAGGAGCCAAAAAAATAAAAAGAAAAAATAAATTAAAAAAAGAAAAAAGCCAGAAGTGGTGCTGTGGCTCAAGTGGTAGAGCGCTAGCCTTGAGCTGAAGAGCTGAGGGACAGCGCCCAGACCCAGAGTTCAGGCCCCATGACCAGACCAGACCAAAACAAACAAACAAACAAAAAAAAAAACCCAAAAAAACTGAAATCCTTAGTGTAAGGTCCGCTCCTGGATGGCTAGCAGACTCCACCCTCCTTGCAGCAAAGTCTCCACCCAGTACCTGTGTTACCTAGGCAACTGGGACACCGGGAAGAGTCACATCTGAATTTGATGTGGCCACACCTTTCTCCGCCCATACCTTAGTTAAGACCTAGCCCAGGCCCAGCCGCTCTCTGCTCTTTTCTAGCTCTTTTCTCTCTCTTTCCCAGCCACGTAGAGTGCCAACCTTGCCTGGTCCCAGCAGGTCTACTGAATAAACCTACCCCTTACCTGAATACCACATGCGTGCTGCTGTTCTTACTCGGCTACCTCTTTTTAAAAACCTAACATTTAGATCTCAGCCTTCTGAGTAGCTAGGATTACAGGTGTAAGCCACCAGCACCAGGCCAGATAACACATTTCTTCTGCTTTGCCTATCTAAAGAACAAAGTTTGCAACAGAAACAGCTACTGGCATCTGGCTGGCTGCAAATGGATTTTTTAAATATATTAGGTTAAAAAATTAGATAACTAGCCAGGCATTGGTAACTCATGCCTGTAATCCTAGCTACTAAGGAGGCTGAGATTTGAGGATTCCAGTAAAAAAGGCAGCCCAGGCAGGGAGTCTCTGAGAATTTTTTTTTTTTGGTCCGTCATGAGGCCTGAACTCTGGGCCTGGGTGCTATCCCCTCGGCTCTTCAGCTCAAAGCTAGCGCTCTACCACTTGAGTGACAGCGCCACTTCCTGCTTTTTCTGCTTGTGTGGTGCTGAGGAATGGAACCCAGGGCCTCAGGTACGCAAGGCAAGCACTCTACCACTGAGCCAGCCCAGTCTCTGAGATTTTTTTTTTTTTTTTTGGGGTCCAGTCGTGGGGCCTGAACTCTGAGCCTGGGCGCTGTCCCTCAGCTCTTCAGCTCAAGGCTAGCACTCTATTACTTGAGCCACAGCGCCACTTCCTGTTTTTTTCTTTTTTGCTTATGTGGTGCTGAGAAATTGAACTCAGGGCCTCATGCATGCAAGGCAAGCACTCTACCACTGAGCCACCTTCCCAGCCCCAGTCTCTGAGATTTTTATCTCCAATTAATCACCAGAAAACTGGAAGTAGAGCTGTAGCCCAAAGTGGTAGAGCTGTAGCCTTAAGCAAAAAGAGCTCAAAGATAGCACCCAGGCCCTGAGTTCAAGTCCCATGACCAACAAAGACAGAAAGACAGACAGACAAGGGCTGGGAATGCGGCTTAGTGGTAGAGTGCTTGCCTAGCATGCATGAAGCCCTGGACTGATTCCTCAGCATCACCTACACAGAAAAGCCAGAAGTGGCACTGTGGCTCAGTGGTAGTATGCTAGCCTTGAGCATAGAGAGGCTCAGGGGCAGTACCCAAGTCCTGAGTTCAAATCCCAGGATTGGCAAAAAAAAAAAAAAAAAAAAAAAAAGGACAAACAGAGAAGAGAGGAGAGAGACACTGCCAGCTTTCATCTATGATCCCAACTAACTACTCAGGAGGATGAAAACAGACTGTCACCAATTAATTAGAAAAAAGCAAGAACTGGCCATGAGCAAAGAAGTTAAGCAACAGCTCAAAGCCCTAAATTCAAGTCCTAGTACAAGCATAAACACACACACACACACACACACACACACTCACACACACACACACCATAATAAAGTACAACTGCACACTGCACAACTCTCAAGTAGATAGGGAAGTTAAGCTTTACATCAAGAGAGGAAATCTGAGATGAAGTAGGTGAGGATTTTGGAGTCATTATAGAATCTACAGGGGACATCAGTGTTTCTGATTTTTGCCGACATGAATCCATGTCACCTATTGGGACTCTGACCTACTACTCTTCCCATATATGTACTCTATTAAAATGAAGTACCTGTATGTTGCAATAATTTTTTTTGGAGATGAAGGAAACCTGAACAGGAAAGAAGTCATTGGGCTGCCCCGCAATGCTAAATTCCAGACTGCCACTCTTATTTTTGGCATCAATCACTGGCAGGCACCATTCCAAGGTGTTTCGTCGACTGTCATGTCGATACTCTCCATCGATCTCACCAATCACTGGGGCACCCACACCTGATCTGTTAGGAAAAAAATATGATTAGTCAGGTGTCCAGAGCTCAAGAAATTCAACCAAGGAAGAAAAATCAACTATAAATTTAATTATGTTCTTTATCTTCAGCCTCAATTTTTCTAGGCCTGCAACTGTTATACAAAGAAAAAGACAATGGGCTGGGAAGGTGGCTCAGTGGTAGAGCTCTTGCTTTGCACGCATAAGGCCCTGGGTTCGATTCCTCAGCACCACATAAGCAAAAAAGAAAAACCTGGAAGTGGCGCTGTGGCTCAAGTGGTAGAGTGCTAGCCTTGAGCTGAAGAGCTGAGGGACAGTGCCTAGTCCCAGAGTTCAGGCCCCACGACTGGACCCCAAAAAAAACCCAAAAAACAAAGAAAAAGACAAAAATTAGGCTCCTTAATAATTTCAGTAATCAAAATCCTAGCACTTCGACCAAGAATCTTACTCTGTTCTCTTTGTATACAGATATATTCAACAACAGGTACTGGATAGTCCTAGCTGCTCAAATTTATGTCTTAAGAGTTAGAAGAGAACTGAGACAATAAATGTGTGAAGCACACTTGTTTGCAAAAATCCTGCACTATGGCTTAACCTGTTAAGAAGTAATCTATTTATTTTTGTCAGTGCTGCAGCTTGACCTCAAGGCCTGGACACTGTCCCTGAGCTTCTTTAGTTCAAGGCTAGCATACTACCACTTGAGCCACAGCACCATCTCCAGCTTTTTCTGTGTTGTGGTACTGAGGAATCGAACACAGGATTTCATGCATGCTAGGCAAGCACTCACCACTAAGACACATTCCTAGCCCAAGAAGTCATTTAAATGCAATTTTTTTTTAAAAATGAGAAATAGTGGAGAATAAAAGACTGGTAACACTGTGTGTGTATGTGAGGGGTGAAATTTAAACACCAATAATAGATATGAATTTGGATCTATGAAAAGGTGCTCTCTCTTAGCTTTTATGCTTTAGGCACTAGGGCCACAGCTCCACTTCTGGATTTTTGGTGATTAACTGGAGATAAAGAGTCTCACAGACTTTCCTGTCTGGGCTAGTTTTGAACCAGGAGCCTCAAATCTCAGTCTCCCAAGTAGCCAGGATTAGAGGTGTGAGCTGGCACCTGGCTAAGGGTTGTTTTTAGTTTTTAAGGTTAATGGAGTAAGTTTATTTGAAAATGAAAGGAAAGCCATGAAAGGAAATAGTGAGGCTCTCCATTTGAAGAGGGACCCCAAAGAAGAGTCCAAGAGATATCTTTTTTTTTTTTTTTTGGTCAGTCGTGGGTTTGAACTCTAGGCCTGGGCACTGTCCCTCAGCTCTTCAGCTCAAGGCAAGTGCTCTACCACTTGAGCAAACAGAGCCACTTCCGCCTTTCAGGTGGTTAACTGGAGATAAGAGCCTCACAGACTTTCCTGCCTGGGTTGGCTTTGAACCGTAATCCTCAAATCTCAGCCTCTGGAGTAGCTAGGATTTCAGGCGTGAGCCACTGGTGCCCGGATACCTGCTTCCAGGAGATTATTTTTTAAAAACTGAGTTCAGAACTTTCAAAACTTACTGAAGCTGATGCAGTATGATTGTTTCATTTATAATCCAGCAACTGGAATTTGATAAGTAAAAGCATGATTATCCTTGAGCAACATGGAAATATATTTGAGAAAAAGAAATATATAGTTGTCTTGCAAGACAATCAGGGCTAGTTAGGATGTACTTAGCACCCCCACACATGGCTGACAGGCAGTGTCACCTACTCCTACATACTCTAAATTTAACCATCTTTTAATTCACTAGTGACAATGCTTATATTAGGGGAAGAGTAAATAAAGGAGACAATGAAAAATTCAAAGGTAGCATAAAATTATTAACCCTCTCCTATCATTTTTATGATCAGTTTCTTTTACATTCCTCCTGTGTGCTCTTGCTCCAATTGTGATGCTTCCTAAAATCAGTTCTAGGCTGGAAATGTGGCTTAGTGGTAGAGTGCTTTCCTAGCATGCATGAAGCCCTCGGTTCCAATTCCTCAGTACCACATAAACAGAAAAGGCTGGAAGTAGCATGTGGCTCAAGTGATAGAGTGCTAGCCTTGAGCAAAAAAGAAGCTCAGGGACAGTGCCCAGGCTCTGAGTTCCAAGACCCAGGACTGGCAAAAATAAATAAAATGATCAGTTCTAGACAGTGGCATAAACTTGTCATAATATTCTCTTCTTCAAACCCTAGACAGATAGACACAGACAGACAGACAGACAGACACACACACACACACACACACACACACACACACACACACACACAAAGGCGGAGGGGAAGGGATGGGAATAATGATAATACAGAATATCTGGTTTGTTTGTTTGTTTTTTGTCAGTCATGGGGCCTGAACCCTGGGCCTGGGCTCTGTCCCTTAGCTCTTCAGCTCAAAGCTAGGGCTCTACCACTTGAGCCACAGCGCCACTTCTGGCCTTTTCTGCTTATGTGGTGCTGAGGAATGGAACCCAGGGCCTCATGAATGCAAGGCAAGCACTCTACCATTGAGCCACCTTCCCAGCCCCTCCTTTTTTTTTTTTTTTTTTTTTGCCGGTCCTGGAGCTTGAACTCAGGGCCTGGGCACTGTCCTTGAGCCTCTCTGTGCTCAAGGCTAGCACTCTACCATTGAGGCAAAGCACCACTTCTGGCTTTTTCTGTTTATGTGGTGCTGAGGAATCGAACCCAGGGTTTCATGCAATGCAAGACACTCTACCACTAAGCCACATTCCCAGTCCCTTGTAATTTTTTTTTTTTTTTGGGTCGGTCATGGGGCTTGAACTCTGTGCTTGGGTGCTGTCCCTCAGCTCTTCAGCTCAAGGCCAGTGCTCTACCACTTGAGCCACAGCACCACTTCGGTTTCGAGTGGTTTATTGGAGATAAAAGTCTCACAGACTTTCCTGCCCGGACTGGCTTTGAACCGTGATCCTCAGATCTGAGCCTCCAGAGTAGCTAGGATTACAGGCATGAGCCATTGGCGCCCAGCCCCCTTGTAATTCTTTAGCTGGACTTTTTTTTTTTTTTTTGTCAGTTGTTGGGCTTGAACTCAGGGCCTGGGAGCTATCCCTGAGCTTTTTTTCTGCTTAAGGCTAGCATGAGCCAAATCAAATGGTATATGCTTATAATCCTCACAGATGGGAGGCTTAGTCAGGGGAGTTGTGAGTTTGAAGCCATGTTTAGACTTAATCCAGGCTACCTGGTGCTTTTAAATAAAGCCCACCTAAGCCAGGTGCCAGTAGCTCACACCTGTAATCCTAGCCATTCAGGAGGCTGAGAGATTTGAGTATCACAATTCAAAGCTAGTCCAAGCAGGAAAGTCTGTGAGACTCTTGATTGCTAATTAACCACCAGAAAACTGGAAGTGGCCCTGTAGCTCAAAGGGGTAGAGTGATAGCCTTAAGTGAAAAGGATAGAACTTGGGACCTGAGTTCAAAGTCCATGATGGACACCCCCCCAAAAAAAGTGTGTGTGTGTGTGTGTGTGTGTGTGTGTATGTGTGTGTGTGTGTATAAAGTACCTTGACAAATGTATATGATCTTAGTTCAAGACACAGAACATTTTCAGAGTTCCCTTTGTAGCATAGTACATTCCTCTCTACCTCCAATTCTGTGTTCTAACTTTATCAGAAAGGTACAGAAGTGAAATCATAAAGTTGGTAACCTTTTTTTCCCCCCTAGTTGTGGGGCTTGAACTCTGGGTCTGGGTACTATCCTTGAGCTCTGTAGCTCAAGGAGAGTGCTCTACCACTTGAGCCACAGTGCCACTTCCGGTTTTCTGGTAGTTCAGTGGACTTTCCTGCCTGGGCTGGTTTTGAACCCCGATCCTCAGATCTCAGCTTGAGTAGCTAGGATTACAGTCATGAGCCATTGGTGCCCAGCAAAGTTGGTAACTTTTTGAAGCTGGTTTCAGTTTTGTCAGTCATGGGGCTTGAACCCAGGGCCTGGGCATTGTCCCTGAACTTTTGTGTTCAAGACTAGTGCTCTATCACTTTGAGCCACAGTTCCTCTTCTGGTTTTCTGATGGTTACTTAGATATAAGAATCTCACAGACCTTCCTGCCCTGGATTTGAATTGCAATCCTCAGATCTCAGCCTCCTGAGTAGCTAGCATTATAGGCATAAGCTACAGACAGAACCAGCTTTTAGCTGGTTTCTATTACAATTTCTCTTTGTGTGTGCATGTTCATGCATGTGCACAAATGCATGGCTGCTACTAGGGTTTGAACTCAAGGCCTCAAACCTCTTTCTTAGCTTTTTTACTCAATGCTGGTACTTTACCACTTGAGCCACAGCTCCACTTTCAGATGAGTCTGAATGATGTCTGCTCAGCCTGGCTTCAAATCTTGACCCTCAGATTTCAGCCTCCTCAGTGTCTAGGAGTATAAGCATAAGCCACCAACCAGTGCCATAGCACAACTAGTCTTTATTGTGTATGCCAGTACTAGAGCTCAAACCTAGGGCTTAGGCAATATCCTTCAGCTTTTTCACACAAGAATAGCACTCTACCACTTCAACCATAGCTTCACTTCTAGCTTTTAGGCAGTTAACTGGAGGTAAGAGTCTCACAGACTTTTCTCCCTGACTTCAAACCAAGATCCTCAGATCTTAGCCCCTTGAATGGCTAGAATTATAGGCATGAGCCACTGGTACCTGGCCATAGTTGATCTTTTTTTTTTTTTTTTAAAGTAAGTATCAGAACCAGGCGCTGGTGGCTTATGCCTATAATCCTATTACTCAGAAAGCTAAGATATGAGGATCGTGGTTCAAAGCCAGCTGGGGCAGAAAAGTCTGTAAGACTCTTACCTTTAATTAACCAACAGAAAACCAGAATTAGAACTGTGGTTCAAAGTAGCAGAGCACTAGCCTTGAGCAGAAACACACAGGAACAGCACCTAAGCCCTAAGTTCTATCTCCAGGACAAACAATAAATAAAAAAGTAAATATTGGGGCTAAATGCACCTTGTGGTAGATACTTACACAAGAGCAAGCTTAAGGCCTTGGGATTAGTCTCCAGTATACAAAACAAAGGAAAAAAAGAAGCAAACAGGGCTGGGCACTGGTGGCTCATGCCTGTAATACTAGCTACTCAGAAGGCTGAAATCTGAGGATCGCAGTTCAAGGATCGCAGTGCAGGCAGGAAAGTCTGTGAGTGAGATTCTAATTTCAATTAACTACCAGAAAACTGGAAGTGGTGCTGTGGCTCAAGTGACAGAATGCTCACCTTGAGCTGAAGAGCTCAGGCATAGTGCCTAGGCCGAGTTCAAGCCCCAGGAACCACCAAAAAAAAGAAGCAAATATCTTTTCCGGCTTTTTTCTTTTTGCTTATGTGGTGCTGAGGAATCGAACCCAGGGCCTCATGCATGCAAGGCATGCGCTCTACCACTGAGCCACCTTCCCAGCCCCAAGAAGCAAATATCTTAAAATGGATAGCTAGCTAGTGAAATGCTGCCTCCAAAATGAATTACAAAAGGCCACTTCTCAAAGCCAATGGACAAAAAGGATTATGTATGGATCTCCACTTACGGGAGTGGGATGGTGATAACTACATCATTCAGTTCTAGATTATCTTCTTGTAGTTCATATTCTATGTTGACATCACAGCCATTTCCACTCTCTGAGGGCCAGCAATTAACTGAGAAAAATAAAGGAGTCATGTTAGAACACTGAAGAGAAGTCAAGATGGTAAAGCAAGCTGATTAACAGTTGCAGGCCTAAGACATTCTAATGTAAACTACATTTAAAAGAATAATTTCAGTTGGGTGCCTATAGCTCAAGCCTGTAAATCCGACCTACTCGGGAGGCTGAAATCTGAGGATCATGGTTTGAAACCAGTCCAGGCAGAAAAGTCCCCGTGAAACTCTTATCTTCAATAAACTACTCAGAAACACTGGAAGTGGTGCTGTGTTTCAAGTGGTAGAGCACTATTGAGCACAAAGAGGCTCGGGGACAGCACCCAGGCCCAGAGTTCAAACCCCAGGACTGCACCCCGCCCTCCACCCCCCCAAAAAAAAGAACAATTTCAAGTTTAAACTATTAAAGCAAATGATGAAAACATACAAAATGCAGCATCAAGTCCATTTTGTAATGATGGTTACTTTTTCAAAAAAGAAGTTTGCTATAGCAATGAGAAGGCAAGAACCTATAAGTCGTGGCTATTTCTAGTCCTTAGTGCAGATCAGCTGATGGGACTGGCCAGAAGCACTCACTTGTCAATGGAATAAAAGATTCCTCTGTGGTTTGTAGTCTCCACTTTAATACCCCTACGTCACTGTTGACTGGAAATGACTTCTCTGGATTCTTCAAGCCAATTAGAGACTCTGCAGTGAAAAGTTTTTTATCCACGTTTGGATGGGTCTGAAATAAGAAGGGAAGGAAAACTGAAGTTCAGAATTGAAAAAAGAAGAAATCAACCCCATTTGGGCTTACCTGACCCATAACCTAAATGTCTAAAACAAGGTACCTCATAAATCCCAATTTTCATTTTATTTGTGTGTGTGTGTGTGTGTGTGTGTGTGTGTGTGTGTGTGTGTGTGTGTGTGTGTGTGTGTGTGTGTGTGTGTGTGTGTGTGTGTGTGTGTGTGTTTGTGTCTGTCTTAGGACTTGAGCTCAGAGTCACTGGCACCTGGCATAAATCCCAATTGTTTGATTTTGATTTTATTTTTGGTATTATTCTGGGGCTTGAACCCAGGGCTTAGGCACTGTTGAGTTTTTTTTGCTCAAAGTTAGAGCTCTACCACTAAGGTCACAGCTCCACTTCAGGCTTTTTTGGAGATAAGTATCTTTTGGGCTGTTTTGCCCTAGCTGGGTTTGAACTGCAATCTTCAGATTTCAGCCTTCTAAATAGCTAGGATCAGAGGTGCTTGAGCCACTGGCACTCAGCCAAAATTGCTTTTGATTTTGAAGAAAGATTTGCTCTTTAAAGACAAGTTTTAAGACATTTACTCAGATATAACAAGACTCTTTCAAGCATAAACACACGAAACAAAACACCTAATAGATGATTAAACACTAATAACCTGCCAGGGGCAGGTAGGTCCTGTCTGTAATCCTAGCTAATCGGGAGTTCTGAGGATTGCAGTTCAAAACCAGCATGGGCAGTCTTCAGACTAAATAGCAAAAAGCCAGAGGTAGAACTACGGCTTAAGTAGTAGAGCACCAACTTTGGGCAAAAAAAAACAGCCAAGAATGAATGAATGCCAGGCCCAAATATTGGTATCAAAAGCCTCTGCACACCTGTAGCTGCACTCCTTTTTTATCTTCATTTTCCACATGAAGACGAATTCGGCCAAATTTGTCATCTGAGATCCTAAGCATGATCATGCCGTGTAACTCCATATTCTGTAATCCTCCATCCCGTCCACAGGTTAATGTGATCTTTTCTTCAATCTTCATATGCACACTGTAAAGACCAAGTGATTGATCTGTTTAGAAATGTAGGAACCAAAACTTATAAACAACTTTTTTTTTGGTTGGTCCTAGGGCTTGAACTCTGGGCCTAGGCACTGTCCCTCAGCTCTTTAGCTCAAGGCAAGCACTCTATCACTTGAACCACAGCACTACTGCAGTTTTCTGGTGGTTTATTGGAGACTCACAGACTTTCCTGCCTGGGCTGGCTTTGAACCTTGGTCCTCAGATACCAGCCTCCTGAGAGTAGCTAGGATTAAGGCGTGAACCACCAGTGCCTGGCAATACCTTTTTTTTTTTTTTTTTAAGGTGCCACTGCTATATCAAAGCATTAGAATCCTTGATCCAGGTTCAAATAAGGATGTTCGTGTACTTCCTTACTTGGTAGTTCTGGGGATTTTAGGGTCCTGGACATATGCATTCTACCACCAAACTGTATCCCAGACCTCAAGTAGGGAAACTTTTATCACCCAAATAATAAGTTAAAGAAGTACAAGCAAATATTGTGTCTAGTATTGTATTTCTATTTCTATAAGAAAGACATAGCCAGGTGCTAGTAACTCACACCTGTAATCCTAGCTACTCAGGAGGCTGAGATCTGAGGATTCTGGTTCAAAGTCAGCCCAGGCAGGAAAGTCAATGAGACTCTTATCTCCAATTAACTACTAGAAAACTGGAAGTGGCACTGTGGCTCAAGTGGTAGACCACTTGGCCTTGAGCTGCAGAGCTCAGGGACAGCGCCCAGGCCCAGAGTTCAAGCCCCACAACTCACCAAAAAAAAAAAAAAGATATATACTTGTTTGTATTCATCTATATACCAGACTATTCATTCAAGGATCCACAAAAACACTAGTTAATATCAGTTTCTTCTACAATAAGTTCAAAGGCTAAGTGGCAGGAAGAGTTTTTTCTTTTACTTTTTTTTTTTTTTTTTTTGGGGGGGGGGGGGGTCCGATCATGGGCCTGAACTTTGGGCCTGGGCGCTGTCCCTCAGCTCTTCAGCTCAAGGCTAGTGCTCTACCACTTGAGCCACAGCGTCACTTCTGGCTTTTTTCTTTTTGCTTATGTGGTGCTGAGGAATGGAACCTAGGGCCTCATGCATGCAAGGCAAGCACTCTACCACGAGCCACCTTCCCAGCCCCTTTTACTTCTTTTTTATAGTAATGGGGCTTGAAATCAGTGTCTTGCATTTGCCTAGCAAGTACTGTGCCACTGAACCATGTTCCTTACCCTGTTAGCTTTAGCTCTTTTTAAAGATAGTCTCTCCTGTTTTTGTTAGGGCCAGATTCTGACCATGATCCTCCTATCTGTGTCTTCCACTTAGCAAGGATTTGAGGTATGCACCACCTGATCCAGCTTATTTGTTGAGATAGGGGGTGGTGGTATTTATCTCACTAACTTTTGTCCAGGCTGCTCTAGTACTGCAAGTCTCTCCATCTCCTCTGCTGAGTAAGTTGGATTACAGATGTAAGCCACTCACTGCTCTTGGTCCTTGGAAGACCTTTTTTATATTAAAACTTTTTTTTTTTTGGTCAGTCGTGGGTCTTGAACTCTGGACCTAGTCACTGTCCCTGAGCTTTGTTCACTCAAGGCTAGTGCTCTGCTACTTGAGCCAAGCACTACTTCTGGTTTTCTAATGGTTAATTGGAGATAAAAGTCTCACAGACTTTCCTGCCTGGGCAGGAAAAGATCTCAGCCTCCTGAGTAGCTAGGATTATTACAGGTGTGAGCTAGGAGTCCAGCTGACTTTAAAAACTTTAATGTGCTGGGTGCTGGTGGCTCACACCTGTAATAATCTAGCTACTACTGAAGATCATGGTTCAAAGCCAGCCCAGGCAGGAACATCCATGAAACTCCAATTAACCACCAGAAAACCAGAAGTGGTGCTGTGGCTCAAGAGGTAGTGAAGAGCTCAGGGACCAGTGCCTTGACCCAGAGTTCAAGACCCAACACTGACCAAAAAAAAACTTTTTTTTTGAAGTCTTTTAACTTTTATTATAGGAATGTAACAATTTAAAAACAAAATTACAAAGTATTGTAGGCAATTATTACATACAATCTACCCATTTCATAATATAAGTATGTTTAACTGGGTAAACTGCAGAGCCCACAAATATTTTGGTCTCGTACTTCATTCTCTATTCCAACCTCTTAGGTCTTCCCACAAACAAAAAACACCAGACTCAAAGCTGGGCGCTGGTGGCTCACGCCTGTAATCCTAGCTACTCAGGAGGCTGAGATCTGAGGATGGCGGTTCAAAGCCAGCCCAGGCAGGAAAGACCGTGAGACTCCTATCTCCAATAAACCACCAGAAAACCGGAAGTGGCGCTGTAGCTCAAGTGGTAGAGCGCTCGCCTTGAGCTGAAGAGCTGAGGGACAGCGCCCAGGCCCAGAGTTCAAGCCCCACAACCGACAAAAAAAAAAATACACCAGACTCTGGTCCTCAGGGTCCTATTTTTGCCTTCATAAGGCTTACTCTCCACTTAACAGGTATTTCACTTAGAAAGGGATCTGAAGCTCTCTAGTACATGATGGTCTCCAACAGGTTTAAAAGCACCAAAACTCTCTCTCAAAGCTAGAAGTAGCAGAGGCACTTTAGTGAATCAAGATATGTATTCAAATGTAATTTTGCTCATTTCATTAAGAACAGGACACATAGTTAATTCTCTCCCTTTATGCAGGCATGATCGAGGTATCCTCACATACTCAGCTTTCACTTGACCTTAAAACCATCAGGAACAGTAGAAGGTCTGGGCTCAAAACAAGAAATCTGAGTCATGAATAGGTGAACTTGATTAACCTATCACTTAAAAATGTCACCAACCACTACTTCAGCCCAGGACTGAAAACAAATCAAAACAGTATACTGGGGCTAGGTATAACTCAGTGGCAGAAGGATTGTCTAGTCTAACAAATGCAAGGCTCTGGGTCTGATTCCAAGAACAACTGAAGTAAGGGGACTGGGTCTATGCTTCCCCTGATAATTAGCCCTTGATTTCCTGATTGTTTCCCTAGATGGTTTGCTTTTCTATTAGGTTTAAGTGTCCTCATCTAGTTTGCTTTGCTCATGTAAAACATTTTTGTTAGGTTTGATTCCACATACTTTGTGTGGATTTGGCCTATATTTGTGCTAACTGCATTCAAGGCTGCTGACCATTGAAATATGAGTCTACCAGCAGTCCTCTGGCTCTCCAATAAAGACTCATAATTTGGCCTTTTCTCTCCAATAAAGGATCATAATTTGGCATTTTACGTGTTGGGTTCGCTGTTTCTTGTGACTGAGTTTCCTTACAACACAACGAAACACTCTATAAAGGCAAATGTTAATTTGCTGTTGGTATTTATGACTTTTGGGTTAAAAATTGGTTCTCCTTATAGTTTAATAAAAAAAAAGACATGCCTAAATATGTGTGACCGTTATCACTACGGACCCCTATCTAGGAAATACTCTAATTGAGTCTTTAAAATGAGAAAACATTAAAAGGTAAATTTCTTTTAAATCAGTGAATATTAGTTGTAAGTTTCACTGTAGTATTTCACATCTGCATATACTGAACACTGATCAGATTAATGCCCTTTATTGTTGTTTTTCTCTCTCCCTCTTCCAGTCCTCTCAATACACGTGTGTGTGTGTGTGTGTGTGTGTGTGTGTGTGTGTGTGTGTGTCTATCTACTTTTTTAAGTCTAAAAAACTGTTTTGTGCTGGGCACTGGTGGCTCATGCCTGTATTCCTAACTACTCAGGAGGCTGAGATCTGAGGATCGAGGTTTAAAGCCAGCCCGGGCAAGAAAGTCCGTGAAACTCTTATCTCTAATAAACCACCAGAAAACCGGAAGTGGCGCTGTAGCTCAAGTGGTAGAGCGCTCTCCTTGAGCTGAAGAGCTGAGGGACAGTGCCCAAACCCAGACAGAATTCAAACTCCATGACCGACAAAAAAAAAAAAAAAGTTTTGATTATTAGCATAAAAATGGAGCACAAAAAGAATTTATAGCACACTGGAAGACTTAAAATATTTATGTTTGGGGCTGGGAATGTGGCTCAGTGGTAGAGTGCTTGCCTAGCATGCACAAAACCCCGGGGATTCAATTCTTCAGTACCACATAAACAGAAAAGGCTGGAAGTGGCACTGTGGCTCAAAGTGGTAGAGGGTTAGCCTTGAGCAAAAAAACCTCAGGGACAGTGCTCAGGCGTCTTGAGTTCCAAGTCCCATGACCAAAAAACAACAACAACAATTAATCTCACTTTACAAGTTACTAAAAAATTACTCCTTACCTCTCCATATTAATAGATGGAGCATGCACTTTGGTTGCTTCAGAGGTACGCTTGCCCATACTAGAGGACATGATAGTTTCACCTTCAGATTTCAATTTGTCCACAAAGTTATCTACTTCCTTTCCTTTGGCTCCAAGTTTCAAAGCCTTGCTGGGACCTGAAGGCCTAAATGCAAAAACACCAAGTAAGAAAACAAATATAATAAAACATACAAAGAGCATAATCATTAAGGATTCCACATCAACGAAGGTTTCCTGAAGCTATTCTTTAAAAGGAATGCAAAGATCTCACAGGAAAAACCTGCGCTTCTAGTATTGGTGGGTATCATTATTAACTTGACCAAACTGCCAGTATTACATATACTATATATTATACTATACATATTATATATTTTTGAGTCCGATTTTCTTTTGGGGGGGCGGGAAACAGGGTCTTGATATATAGCTTCAGCTAACCTTGAATTCATGATCTTCCTGCCTCAGCTTCCCAAGTGCTGGGATTATAGGAGTGAACTACTATGTTGGTTTTTCTTTTTTCTTTTTTTTGGGGGGGGGGGTCCAGTCGTGGGGCCTGAACTCTGGGCCTGGGCGGACCTCAGCTCTTCAGCTCAAGGCTAGTGCTCTACCACTTGAGCCACAGCGCCACTTCCGGCTTTTTTCTTTTTGCTTATGTGGTGCTGAACCCAGGGCAAGCACTCTACCACTGAGCCACCTTCCCAGCCCCATATGTTGGTTTTTCTTTTTGGTCTTTTTTTGGTGAAGTCTGTGATGGGACTGGGGCTTAAACTCAGAACTTTGCACTCCAACTTTTTTTCTCATGGCTGGTGCTCTACCACTTGACCCACACCACCAGCACAACATTTTGCTGGTTAATTAGAAATACAGACACAGTCTTGAGGATGTTTTTGTCCAAGCTGGCTTCAAACTGTGACCTTCTAGGTCTCTGCCTCCTAAGTGGCTAAGAGTATAGGAATGAGCCATACGCATCTGGCTCTGTGTGGGCCAATAATGGGGCTAGCACTCTCCCTTTAGCTTTGTTTTTTGTTTTGTTTTGGGTCCGGTAGTGGGGCCTGAACTCTGGGCCTGTGTGCTGTCCCACAGCTCTTCAGCTCAAGGCTAGTGCTCTACCACTTGAGCCACAGCGCCACCTCCAGCTTTTTTCTTTTTGCTTATGTGGTGCTGAGGAATCGAATCCAGGGCCCCAGGCATGCAAGGCAAGCACTCTACCACTGAGCCATCTTCCCAGTCCCTCCCCTTAGCTTTCTCAAGGCTGGCACTCTACTGCTTGAGTTACACATTTTTTTTTTTACCAGTTAATTGGAGATGAGTCTCTGGTCTCTGGGATTTATCTGCCTGGGCTGGCAGTATCCTCATATCTCAACTTCCTGAGCAACTAGGATTACAGACATGAGGTACCAGTGCTTAGCTTGGCAATTTCTGTGTGTGTGTGTGTGATTATAGAGGTATACCACCAACAAGATGACAGTGATTATTAATATGGAACCTCTGAGATCAAAGTTATGTTTTTACAATCATACATAAATCTAGGAAAACTTTTTTTTTTTTTGAGTCTGGTTGTGGGGCCTGAACTCTGGGCCTGGGCGCTGTCCCTCAGCTCTTCAGCTCAAGACTAGCGCTCCACCACTTGAGCCACAGCGCCACTTCCAGCTTTTTTCTTTTTTGCTTATGTGGTGCTGAGGAATCGAACCCAGGGCCTCATGCATGCAAGGCAACCGCTCTACCACTGAGCCAGCTTCCCAGCCCCTCTAGGAAAACTTTCTGCCTTCAATCCAGATAAGTAACTGTTCACAACAAAATTTAGCATACGAGTAGTCTAGAGTCCTCTCCAACATTAAAATTAAAAAACCCATGTTCCATAAACTGTTAAATAACTCTTCCATTCCTCAAGTAAAACAACACTCACAAGAAACTGAAGTCATGCATAATTTGTAAAAGGATTTTCTTTTACACCCCCCCCCACAAACCAACCTATTTATGTCTTATTATTCCATATTTTATGCTGACTAGGTTCATACCACATTTTCCTTCAAGTCCCCTATTATTTATAGCTTGTCTAGAAATCATTCCAAAGTTATACAACAATATACCTTCCCCTAGCTTATTAGGGTTGCTGGTAATATATTCTGGATATACCTGGCTGGTGCAGGTGCCACTTTTGGTTTATCAGTTTCAATGATGGTTTCTGTGATCATGGCAGCTGTGCTTCCTCCAGATACTGCAGAGCTACCAAATCCCCCAAATCCTGGTGCTTTTTTGCCCTGTCTCTCTGCATCTCTTCGGGCCTGTTGTAATTCCTTTGCTTTACGCCGCATCTCAGCCTTTGCTTCACGTTCTTGAGTCTACAGAAAGAGATGTGGATGTAGCTTTGAGTACAGTCCACAACAGCAAGTAAAACTAGAAAAAATCAGACTAAAAAAGGCTAAGAGACATTCAAAAAAGCAGTCCTAAAGAAGACCTCACTTACCTCTCTGACTGCTCTGAAGACTTTTTCCTCATGAGAATCCATTTCTGTGAAGGTTCTGATCTGTGCCAGATTAACATTCTCCCGATATCCCAGGGCGACAATTTCATCAAAAGCAAAAATCAAATCAAAACAGTGCTCTGATATTTCATTCTCCTCTAAGGCTCGGCAGTATTCTGGAATCTAATTATGAACAGCAATGGAAAGGAAATTTAGAATTCATTGGCAGCTGTGTTTCCATAGCTTATCCTTATCCTATCCTCATCAGGTGGTGGAGCACCAGCCAGGCAAGCCAGCGGAGCTAAAGTTAGGCTCTAGGTTCTAAACCCCAGTGAAAGAGAGAGAGAGAGAGAGAGAGAGAAAGGAGAAAGGGAGAGAGAGGGAGAGAGAGGGGGAAAAGGGGAGAGATGGGGAGAGGGAGGAGAGAGAAGAGGGGGGAGGGAGGGAGAAAGGGAAGAAGGGAGGGAGGGAGAGAAGGAGAGAAATAGGGAGAGGGAGAAGGAGAGGGAGAGGGGGAGAGAGAAGGGGGGAGGGAAAGAGAGAGGGAAGGAAAGAGGGAGAAGAAGAAAGAATATGTGTATGTATGGATTTCAATGAAACAAGATTGAACCCAGGACATTGCATTTGCTAGGCAAGCACTCTGCCACTGCGCTACATCCAAGCCCCAAATCTCTTTCTCAGTGCTTAATCTTTATGTTAAGAAAGACTTTTTGGCATAAAAGCATTAGAGCTTAGTCTTTATGTTAAGACATTTTGGCATAAGAGTCTTAGAGAGAAAGTATGTGTGTGTGTATCAGTGTTATCTAAAAAACATGGCTAAGCAAGTAGATTTGAGTAACTAAGAACTGGGATATAAAAGAGTAATTCTTGCATTCTCTTTGAGACACTTATAGCTTAGGAAGGCATCCAATAAAAGTCTTCCAAATGGGGCTGGGAAGATGGCTCAGTTGCAGAGTGCTTGCCTTGCATGCATGAAGCCCTGGGTTCAATTCGTCAGTACCCATAAGCAGAAAAAGCCAGAAGTGGTGCTGTGGGCTCAAGTGGTAGAGCGCTAGCCTTGATCTGAATCACTGAGGGACAGTGCCCAGGCCCAGAGTTCAGGCCCCACAACCAACCAAAAACAAAAAATAACAACAAAAAAGAGTCTTCCAAATGAAGGCTGGAGGTGTGGCTCACTGATAGAGAGGCCTGTCTAGTAAGTGTGAGGCACTGAGTTTAAAGCCCAGGATTAGAAGAAAAAAAAGTTGGGGCTGGGAAGGTGGCTCAGTGGTAGAGCGCTTGCCTTGCATGCCTGAGGCCCTGGGTTTGATTCCCCAGCACCACATAAGCAAAAAGAAAAAAAGCTGGAAGTGGTGCTGTGGCTCAAGTGGTAGAGCGCTAGCCTTGAGCTGAAGAGCTGAGGGACAGCGCCCAGGCCCAGAGTTTAGGCCCCATGACCGGACCCAAAAAAAAAAAAAGAAGAAGAAAAGTTTACCAAATGAATAAGGAGCTGCAGAGGTTTAAGGTATAAGATCAGCAACAGAGAACTTGTTTAGCATGCACAAGCCACATTCTGTCCCAAGTGCATACACACTCTCTCCTCCAAAATAAGGAGCTACAGTAATAGGGCACTGGGCACTGTGAAGAACCCAAAAGTGATCATCACCAGCAGCTCTGGAAGAAAAATTACTTCAAAAATTACACAAAAGAGCCGGGCGCTGGTGGCTCACACCTATAATCCTAGCTACTCAGGAGGCTGAGATCTGAGGATCGCAGTTCAAAGCCAGCCCGGGCAGGAGAGACCGAGAGACTCCTATCTCCAATAAACCACCAGAAAACCGGAAGTGGCGCTGTAGCTCAAGTGGTAGAGCGCTCGCTCGCCTTGAGCTGAAGAGCTGAGGGATAGCGCCCAGGCCCAGAGATCAAGCCCCACGGCCGACAAAAAAAAAAAAAAAAAAAATTACACAAAGTAACATAATAAAAAAAGGAGCAGTTTTATAGAATGACTTACCACTCTTGAAAAGAGCCTAAGTGTCTCCAAATCTTCTAAAATGTTGCTGTTTTTGGTAGTGATCAGTACCATGTACAATTTTTCCATAGGCTGGTAGACATATCTTACACTCTCTGTTTCAACAAATGTATGTTGTTTTCCAGTGTTCATGAGTTTTGGGAAAGCTGCTAATAAACCCTCAATCCGAGTTCTGGTCATCTCCACAAACTGTCGAGAAACAATAGCTTTTCCTGCTTTTGTGCAGACTGCTGCTGCCAAGAGCACCTGCCAGGAACAAAGGTATAAATAAGTGCTAATTACTTCTTCACATCTGTTTTCTCTTCTCAGAAGATCTTCCAGAGAGAAACTTGTTCAGTGATATGTTAGCATACTTTTACTCTAGTTCATTAATTACAGTATGAAATTCATAAAACGAAGTTAAAGTAGAGGAAAATAAAGCCACTATTCCATTATATACCTATGGAAAAACTTTAAATAAAACAATAAATTTGGAGCTGGTTGTTCATGACTGTAAGCTGAGATTTAAGATTCGAATTCAAAACCAGCCTGGGGAGCCAAGAGCCAGTGGCCCACACCTGTAATCCTAGCTACTCAGGAGGCTGGGATCTGAGGACCGCGGTTCAAAGCCAGTCTGGGCAAGAAAGGCCGTGAGACTCTTTTCTCCAATTAACCACAGAAAACTGGAAGTGGTGCTGTGGTTCAAGTGGTAGAGCACTAGCCTTGAGCTGAAGAGCTCAGGAACAGCACCCAAGCCCAGAGTTCAAGCCCCAACAACAAAAAACCAGCCTGGGCAAGAAAGTCCTTGAGACTCTCTTATCTCCAAACCAAAAAGCCAGAAGTGGAGATGTGGCTCATGTGACAGAATATTAGCCTCAAACACAAAAGTTCAGGGACAGCAGCCAGGCTCTGAGTTCAACCACCAGGACTGGCGTACACACAGACACACAGACACACACAGAGAAATAAAATAGTATCTTTCACTGGAAAATAGACAGAGCTGGAGAGCACGTTAAGTAAAATAAGCCAAAGCCAAGTGTGATGGCTCATGCCTATAATCCTAGCTACTCAGGAGGCTGAGATCTGAGGATTGCGGTTCAAAGCCAGCCCAGGCAGGAAAGTCCATGAGACTTTTTTTTTTGGTCGGGGGGCCTGAACTCTGGGCCTGGGCACTGTCCCCCAGCGAATCAGCTCAAGGCTAGCGCTCTACCACTTGAGCCACAGAGCTACTTCTGGCTTTTTCTGCTTATGTGGTGCTGAGGAATTGAATTCAAGGCCTCATGCATGCATGGCAAGCACTCTTACCACTGAGCTACCTTCCCACCCCCTCCATGAGACTCTTATCTCCAATTAACCACCAGAAAACTGGACATGGCACTGTAGCTCAAGTGGTAGAGTGCTCAAAGCGCCAGGGACAGAGCCCAGGCTCAGAGTTCAAGTCCCATAACTGACAAAAAAAAAAGTAAAATAGCCGATTACACAAAGACAAGTATGACATGTTTTCTCTCACTTGTGGAAGCTAAGGGTAAATGAAACAAAACATAACCAAAGCCATGAAAGTAAAAGGAGGACTGTTAGGAATGTGGAAGGGGTATGAGAATAGTGGGACAAAGTAATAGAGGGAATAAATATGATCAAAGTAAATCACAGCCAGGTGCTAGTGGCTCACACCTATAATCCTAGCTGAGATCTGAAGATGGCTATTTGAAGCCAATCTGGGAAGTAAAGTCTGGAGACTCATCTCCAATTAACCAGCAAAAAGCTGGTTAGAGGTATGGCTTACGTGGCAGAGAGCCCTGCCATGAGTGAAAAAGCTAAGGAACTAGGCCAGGTGCCTAACTACACAAGAGGCTGAGATCCAAGGATCACAATTCAAAGTTAGCCTGGGCAACAAAGTCCATGACTTTTGTCTCCAATTAACCTGCAAAAAGTTAGAAGTAGAGATGTGGCACAAGTGGTAAAACTGCAGGCCAAGTGAGATGATGAGGCCCTAAGTTCAAGCCCTACTATAAACACACACACACACACAGGGACACACACACACACAGGGACACACACACACACAGGGACACACACACACACACAGGGACACACACACACACACAGGGACACACACACACACACACAAGGACACACACACACAGGGACACACAAACACACACATCTATCATAAAAATAGAAAATTGCTTTATACTTAGTATTACCTTTACTTTGGTCTTCCATTTTTCTGAAGACCAACTGAAACCATACCAAACTGATACACCAAAAAATTAAAATTGCTTGGTGTATATGTGAATATGATCCTCTATTTAAGTTTGATTTTATTTTTTGTCAGTTGTGGGGCTTGAACTCAGGGCTTGGGCACTGTCCCTGAGCTCTTTAGCTCAAGGCTAGCACTTTACCACTTTGAGCTATAGCTCCACTTATGGTTTTTGAGTGGTTATCTGGAGATAAGAGTCTCACAGGGACTTAACAGCCCTGGCTGGCTTTGAACTGTAATCCACAATCGGCAGATCTTAGCATCCTGAGTAAGTAGGCTTACAAGTGTAAGACCCAAGCGCCAGGCTAAATTTGATTATTTTTAAAGTTATTATTATTGAATAGTTGTACCAAAGAGAATTCAATTCCAGAAGTCAGGTTATGAGTACAGTGCATCCTGGTTCCTGGTCAATGTCACTCTTCCATTAAATTTTAAAAAATAAAACAAAAAAACTCTTAAATTTTTGGAAAAAGACATGTGATCCAAAAGGAACTTTTAAAGTCCTCAATAATCTTAAAAAAGCAAGGGCTCAGAATCTAAATGATTTCTAGGACTGTTAAAAAAACTTTACCTTGCCTGGCACTGGTGGGTCATACCTGTAATCCAAGCTACTCAGGAGGGAAGAGATCTGAGAACTGTGGTTCTCAGGCAGCCCAGGCAGGACAGTCCACGAGATTTATTTATGTATTTATTTGGTGGTTGTGGGACTTGAACTCAGGGCCTGGACACTTTCTCTGAGCTTCTTTTGCTCAAGGCTAGCACTCTACCACTTGAGCCACAGTACCACTTCTGGCTTTTTGTTTATGTGATAATGAGGAATTGAATCTAGGGCTTCATGCATGCAAGGCAAGCACTCTACCACTAAGCCACATTGCTCCCGCTCTGAGACTCTTAATCTCCAATTAACCATCAGAAAAGTGGAGCTTTAACTCAAAGTGGTAAAGCATTAGCCTTGAGCAAAAAAGCTCAGGGACAATGCCCAGGCCCCAAGTCCCTAAGTTCAAACCCCATGGCTGACGAAAAAAAAGGAAAAGGAAAGAGAGAGAGAGAGAGAGAGAGAGAGAGAGAGAGAGAGAGAGAGAGAGAGAGAAAATCTGCACCATTTATTGGGTGCTGGTAGCTCACACCTGTAATCTGAGTTACTCAGGAGGTGGAGGTCTCAAGATCATGGTTTGAAGCCAGATTGGGAAAGAAAATCTGTGAGATTCTTATCTTCAATTAACAATAAAAGCATTAGGACAGTGCAACCGGCCAAGTTCAACCACCAGGACCAGTGCATGTGCATACATAACTCTAAAAGTCTACATATCAGAGAATTTCACAGTAATAATACCCACTGCCCAAGTATTAATTACTTTGGAAGATATTTTATACTGGTATTAAGCTGCTAGAAGGCAAATTATCTAACCAAAACAAAGTTTGTCTGTAAACCTACAAAATATAGGTATAAAAATAATCCCAAACCAGGCTCTGCTTCTGAAGTTGTGGTGGCCCATTTCTGTAATCCTAGCTACTCAGGAGGCTGAGATCTGAGGATTGAGGTTCAAAGCCAGCCTAGGCAACAAAGTCTATGAGATTCTTATCTTCAATTAACCACCAGAAAACCAGAAGTGGTGCTGTGGCTCAAGTGGTAGAGTGGTAGCCTTGAGCTGAAGAGCTGAGGGACAGCACCCATACCCAGAGTTCAAGCCCCACAACCAACAACAAAAATAATAATAATGATCCTAGCACTTAGAAGTCTAAGGCAGGAAAATTAGGAGATAGGAGACAAGCCTGGGCTACACAATGGGATCCTGTCTCAAACATACCCACACACCCCCCACACCCACACCCACACAATTCCATCTATCAAGGCTACATTCTATAATTATGATAGAATTGTATCTTACCATTTATATAGTTTCAAATAAGGAAGATCAGAATAGAATCTAAACCACATACAAAATATGAAACTTGAAAAGTTTATACAAGAGTTTAGATCAATTACTTTTGTGGTCTAAAAACAAAAGCTTGTATATAATAAAAAGACATGGGCCAGGGCTGGGAAGGTGGCTCAGTGGTAGAGCGCTTGCCTTGCATGCATGAGGCCCTGGGTTCCATTCCTCAGCACCACATAACCAAAAAAAAAGAAAAAAGCCGGAAGTGGAGCTGTGGCTCAAGTAGTAGAGCGCTAGCCTTGAGCTGAGGGACAGTGCCCAGGCCCAAAGTTCAGGCCCCACAGCCGGACCCCCCTCCCAAAAAAAATGTTTGTGACTTTAAGTATCACTATCCTATAATACTGTGAAATGTGTGAATTTATGTAACCACTTAATCTCAATAAAAGATTATTATTATTGTGTTTTTTGGGGGGGTCCAGTCGTGGGGCTTGAACTCTGGGCCTGGGCGCTGTCCCTCAGCTCTTCAGCTCAAGCTACCACTTGAGCCACAGCACCACTTCCGGCTTTTTTCTTTATGTGGTGCTGAGGAATCGAACCCAGGGCCTCAGGCATGCAAGGCAAGCACTCTACCACTGAGCTACCTTCCCAGCCCCTCAATAAAAAAAAAAAAAAAAGGACACGGGCCAGGCACAGGTGGGTTACACCTGTAATCCTAGCTACTCAGGCTGAGCTCTGAGGATCTTAGTTTGAAGTCAAGCCTGGCAGGAAAGCCCGTGAGACTTCTCCAATTAATCACTTCTCTCCAATTAATCACTGAAAAAGCTAAAAGTGGTAGAGTACTCGTCTTGAGCAAAAGATTAGCTTACAGACAGCCCAGAGTTCAAGGACCAGGACCAGCAAAAGAAGAAGAAGAAGAAGATGAAGAAGCCAAAGCCGCAGCTGCATAAGAAGAAATGCTGTGTCCTAACACTTGACAGAACAGAATGTATTTAGATAAACTGTTCTCTAGAGCACATGATCTGTATCTGAAACGTGCCATGTCCTTAATAATTCAGAAACATATGACATAAGTTTAAGTGCGTACACATGTCAAAAGGGAAAACAAAACAGATGAAACACTCACCATCTACAGCTTTTACTATCTTTCAATTGTCAATGAATTAAAATACTAAGTGGTAGCCTGGCAACCCTGGCTCACACCTATAATCCTAGCTACTAAGGAGGCTGAGTTCTAAGGATCATGGTTGGAAGCCAGCCAGGGCAGGAAAAGTCCCTGAGTCTCTTATCACCAATTAAACACTAAGAAAGCTGAAAGTGGAGCTATGGCAAGTGGTAGAGCTCTATCCTTGAGAAAAAGCTCAGGGACAATGCCCAGGACCTGAGTTCAAGCCCCAGGACTAATAAATAAATTAATAAACTTAAAAATTGTAAGCCCCAAGAAGCACTATGAATAGTTTCACAGTACAAGAAGAAAGCTTCTTAAAACGCTACCCAAATACTAAGTCTCCTAGTGAATTGAGGCAGGCCGGCTCGATGCAGTTTATAAACCTGAGGCTGAAAAAACAAACACAAAAGAAATCGGAAAAAACAAAAAACTTTCAGTATGTCCAAAGCACAAAATCTCCCGACTAGCCAAGTTCTCAAGGAACTTAGGCACAGGAGAGGCTTTATATCAAAATTATCCATCAAAAAACGAACACCAAGAGCAGCCTTCAAAAGCTTGGAGGAGGACACGGCACAAAACAAGACAAGACTGCAGGACCTAACGTGCACTAAAAAAATAAGTGGTTCGCTGGCTGGAGCCGGCGGAGCCGCGGGCACTTCATGAATACGCAGCAACCGCGGACGGCGCGGCGTCGGGCGGCGTCAGCAGTTGTGGGCTCCCCATCCTCACCACTGAGGCGCCCCGTCTCTACAATCGGGGTGGGGGGCGCGCCTCGCAAGGCAAGCGGGCGGTCCCAGGGGGGACCCCGAGTTCCCCTCCCGAGACGGCCCGTGAGCGTAAAGCACGGACAAACTTCACCCGCACCCCAAGTTTTCCTGGAAGACACAACCGTCTCCCCACCCCCCGCCCCCCGCCCCGCGCCGTGTTCCCAAGACCGGGCTCGCTCCCATTTCCTCGGTGCCCGCCACACGCACCCGGGACCCGGACAATACGCGGGGGCAGCAATGGTGATGGTGATGATGACAGTACTGCAAGCGCTGGGCCCGGCGGAGGCCGTCCGCGAGCGGCGCGGCCCGCGGAGCGCCGAGCCCCGGGCGCCGCGACCCCCCGGGCCCGCGCAGGCCGCGTCCGGGGCCGGCGGCGGGGCGCGGGGCGCGGCGACAGGCACGGACGTCAGCCCCCGGGCTCCCCGGCCCCGAGCGAAGGCGGCCCCCGGCGCCCGGAGCCCGGGGCGGGGCCCCTCGGCCCAGCCTCGGCCGGGCCCGGCGGGGAGAAGCGGCGGGCGAGGCCCGGAGCCCGCGAGTTCGGGGTCCGGTTCGAGTCTTACCATGATGAGGGCGGTGGTGGGGCGCAGCCCGCGCTCCGGCTCACTGGGGATAGGGCTTTGGGCGGGGGGGGGAGGTCCAAGCAAGGGGAGCACCGGCCGCTCGGGACCCGCTGCCCCCCTGACAGGAGCGGCCGCCGCTTCGCCTCTAGCCAAGATGGCGGCCCGGAGCCACGTCTCCAACCGGAAGCCGCGCGGGTCAAAGGGCGGAGGGCGGGGCCTGCAGGATGGTTAGCTGGACTACCCGGACGCCGCCGCCGCCGCCGCCGCCGCGGTACCCGGGCCCGCAGGCCCCGAGCGCTGCAGCCTCCCGCCGCGGCCTTCCCTGGATCTTGGTCCTGGGTGTCGCCTCTTACAGTGCACGAGGCCATTAAAATAACATGCAAAAAGCCCAAAACCAAAACAACATCTATTGTGCACATCAGGGACTAGTATCCAGAATATATAAAGAACTCTTAGATAAAGATGAACACAATGTAAAAATGGATGTAGGATGTGAACAGACATTTCTCCCAAGAAAAGCTACAAATGGCTAATTAGCTTAAAAAAGTTTAACATCCCTATGTCATTTAGAAAATGCAAATCACCTCTGTACATCACTTGCTTTTTTTTCCCCTGCCAGTTCTGGGGCTTGAACTCAAGGCCTGGGCACTGTTCCTGAGCTTCTTTTGCTCAAGCCTAGCGCTCTACCACTTGAGCCACAGAAGAGTTGAAGCCAGGGTTCCACGCATGTTAGGCAAGCACTCTACCACTAAGCCACATTCCCAGCGCTGTACATCACTTTTATAATAATTAAAAATGCAAATCAAAACACAGTGAAGCCAGGCGCTGGTGGCTCACGCCTGTAATCCTAGCTACTCAGGAGGCTGAGATCTGAGGATCGCGGTTCAAAGCCAGCCCGGGCAGGAGAGACCTTGAGACTCCTATCTCCAATAAACCACTAGAAAACCGGAAGTGGCGCTGTAGCTCAAGTGGTAGAGCGCTAGCCTTGAGCTGAAGAGCTGAGGGACAGCGCCCAGGCCCAGAGTTCAAGCTCCACGACCGACAAAAAAAAAAAAAAAAAAACACAGTGAGATATACAACCTCACACCACTAGGATAGCTCTAATAAATTTTGGCAAGGATGTGAAGAAATCGAAACCCTAATATGTCACTAGTAGGATTGTAAAATAGTGTGACTGCTTTCATGATAGAGTTCCAAACATAAAGAGTTTGGAAAAGGCTTCCACAATTCCTCAAAAAGTTAAAGTTCCTAGATCACTCAGAAAATTCCTGTGGTAGGCACATATCTAACATTATTAAAAATATATACCAACACAAAAATGTTTGGTTATAGCAGCATTATTTGTAATAGCTAATAAGTGAAAACAATCCAAACAAATCAACTCTCAACAGATGGATGGACAAAGGAAATATAACATAGTCATGAAATTAAGTATTATTTAGCCATAGAAAGTAATAAAGACTCTTTCCCTTTCCTGGTTGCCATTAGATAAGCAGCTATGCTCCATCACAAACCTCTTTACACATTCCCACATTCCCAGCCCCAACACTGAAATCTTTTTTTTTTTTTTTAGTTTAATTTTATTTGTGAACATACTGTACAGAGGGGCAGGATAATGCGTACATTTCTTACCAAGCATTGCAGCCTCCTCCTTTGTTTACCCTTCACATCCCTTCCCAGCCTCCCCCCTCCCCCCCAATCCCAATCCTTCTCCTTCCTCCCCTTCCCTCTCCCCCCCCCCACCGACGGTGTAAAGCTCGTTTTGGACATGACAACTTGTACTTCTCATTGTTGCAACAGGTCCACCTGTATCCTTAAACAACTGGTTTTTTCCCATCTCCTCCACAAGTTATACTGACATCAAATATAGTGAAAGCAGGGGTTATACTGTGGGGGAGGGACATGCAAAGCAACAAAGAAATAATCTTATCAATGCGTTAGAAACACATGCATGAAAGAAAAAAACATTAAGATACATATCTAAGGGTTCATTTTCCTGACATCACATTATCTGACCTTTTCCGCTTGACTCGTACATATACTAGAAATTGCAAATAAGTGAAACCATGGGACCTATGTTTCTTTGGGCCTGGCTTACTTCACTTAATATAATTTTTTCCAAGTTTTTCCATTTCCTAACAAATGGGGCAATGTCATTCTTTCTGATGGAGGCATAGAATTCCATTGTGTATATATACCACATTTTCTTGATCCATTCATCTACTGAGGGGCATCTGGGTTGGTTCCATATCTTAGCTATGGTAAATAATGCTGCAATAAACATAGTTGTGCTGGTAGCTTTAGTGTGGTCTTGTTTGTAGACATTTGGGTAAATGCCCAAAAGTGGCATTGCTGGGTCATAGGGGAGTTCTATGTGAAGTCTTTTGAGGAACCTCCATACTGCTTTCCAAAGTGGCAACACTGAAATTTTAGAAGCTGTGAAATGAAATAAATTATCCTCCTCTTTAAAAAAAAAAAATGAAAGAAGACTGGGAATGGTGCCTCAAACCTGTAATCCTAGCTACTCAGGAGTCTAAGATCAAGAGGATCAAGGAAGGTTCAAAACCAGGCTGGGGAGAAAAGTTCAACAGACTCTATCCAAAATAACTAGCAAAACGCCAGTCAAGAGGTATGGCTTACGTGATGGAGCATCAGCCAAACAAATCAAGCAAGCTCAGTTGTAGTTGCAGTCAATGTGGTAATTTGTGATTATAATGCATCTTGATCAGTATCACCACTTTCATTATTCTCTCATATCTTCATTCTTACTTATTAAAAAAGTATAAATCCTCTTTGGAATTATTGCCTCATGGCAGCTTTCAAGGCCATGAATATGAATTTCAGAAGCTCAGTAAGGACCAGTTTATGCTATTCTTTGGAAATGTGACATTCAACAAGACTGCAGAATATGCATCCTTGTGAACATGTTTAAAGGAGTGCCTCAGAAGTAGTAGGTTTTCATGGTTTAAAGAAGAGAGGGGGGAGGGGGAGGATTGGGAGGGGAGGGGGAGAGTACGGGAAGGGATGGGAAGGGGAAACAAAGGAGGCAACAATGCTTGATAAGAAATGTACTCCTTATCTTGTCCATGTAATTGTAACTCCTCTGTATGGTATTCTCACACACACACACAAAAAGTCCCTCACTGATTAACTGAGGTGGTCTTGGGATATCATATAAAGAAGAAAAATTTCAAAATAAAAAAGAATAAGAAGAGACAGAAGCCAAGCATCAGTGGCTCACTCCTGTAATCCTAGCTACTCAGAAGGCTGAGATCTGAGGATCAAGGTTCAAAGCCAGCCCATGCAGAAAAAAAATCCCCAAGACTCTTATTTGCAATTAACTACCAAAAAACCAGAAGTGGAGGTGTGGCTCAAATGATAATGCCAACATTGATTAAAAAAAAAAAAAAAAGGCCAAGCAAATGTGTTTATGCAGAGATTTAGATCAAGCTGGCAATAATAGTGCCATGATACAAACTTTACTCACAGTCAAAGCCATTAAGGACCCTGAGAATGGCTACAACAAAATTTAAATGTTGGGATGTATATTCATAAAATCCTATTATCACAGATAATGCTAAGAACTTAAAATGTCAATAAATTGAACATGAATAAGATTTAAGCCAAAGGAGAGCCTGAGGCCTTGAGTAAAACTCCAGTACTAGTACACGTGTGCGCACACACACACACACACACGTTGAGCATAGACTTCAAAAAGTGTCATTCTGTAACTCAGTGCTTCTCAGATGCCATCGTCATGTATACTCTTAGGCTTGCCATCCTCCAGAACTGTAACAATGTACATTTTTTTTCTTTATTTGGCTGGGTAGCTCACACCTGTAATCTTAGCTACTCAGGAGTAGCCAGTGGTTCAAAACCAGCCCAGGCAGGAAAGCCCCTGAGACTCTTATCTCCAATTAACCACCAGAAAAACGGAAGAGTAGCTGTGGCTCAAAGTAGTAGAGTACTAGCCTTGAGTGGAAAAAGCTCAGGGACAGCGCCCAGGCGCCAAGTCCAAGCCCACGACCGACAAGAAAAAAAAAGTGTTTGGGATGCTCCCTGGCAAATGTATAGAAGTCCTGATTAGACAGATCTAGGGGAAGCTGCATGCCCAGGGAAAATAAATCAGAAAAACCGTGTTTCAGATGGAAGGGCAGAAATTCATCAGCCCGTTCTTCCACCTTCGGCCGCTAGATGCCGCCACAAAAGCTTTTCTTGAAACCATAGACAGGCAACTTGGCTGCCCAGAGCGTCCAAAGGCTTTACCGGAAGCTCCTTGCACGCACCTCGCTCGCTCCTTGCTCTCTCCTTCCGGCGCGTTGAGAACCTAAGCTGGAAGAGGCGTTACGTGGGGCTACGGGGAGGAGGACTCGCGATTGGGAATCGAGTCTCGCGATTGCTCCTCTTCTTTCTGTACTTTGTGACTAGCGACAGGCAGCTGTCGGCTTGCTCCTAGGAGAGTCCCTTGGAGTCGCTTGGTCTGAGATTGGAGTGAGACCCCAGTCTTAGGCTGGGGCTCTTTCCATAGAGAGGAGACGGATTCGGAGGGGCTACAGGTAATTTGTACTCTCCCCCGCCCCGAGGAAGCTTGGGCCTTTCCTGGCGCCCTCCTCTTTCGCCCGCTGGCGGCGCCTTTCCCGTCTCCATGGCGACGCCCCGCCCCCAGCGCCTGTCCAAGCCCGCCGCCAACTGTCCCGCGCCCCTTACTCTCCAAGAAACTTGCTCTTCAGTGGGATCAGACTTGCAAAACTGGTGGAGATAGAAGTGATGCTTTTGGTATTATTGAGATCGAGAAACTGGAGTTCAGTGTACACACACACACACACAGAGACACACACACACACACACACACACCCCGGAGGTGGACTTTTTTGTAGAGCCTCTGCAGTCCCTTCACTCTCTAATCACTCTCTAATAAACCCCAGTAGCTTTGGGAGAAACTAACCCAACCTGAAAAACCATCAGTGTGTGTGTGTGTGTGTGTGTGTATCTTACAGATTTCAGAGAGCTGCTGGAGAGTTTGGCTGTTGTTTTCCTCCACGATTCTCTCTGATTTCAGCCACTCTACCAGCAGTTCCTAAAATGAGGGTCAGGATGACTTAAGTTTGGATGGGGTAAAGGTTTCCTGCAAACCGGTGCCTTGGGTAAGGAAGAGGAGCCTCTGCTGGTTTGT